CAGAGGGAGAAGCAGGCTCCCTGCAGGGATCCCAACACGAGACTCGATCCCAGGACCCCAGGATCACGACCTGAGCCAAAGGCAGACGCTCAATAACTGAGCCACCCAGGTGTCCCTCCCCATCACTTCTTTTATTGGCTTTCACACTCAGGTCCACCATCCCCCCAACCCTGATCACCCCAGGGCCAGGTACCAAACAACTACAGAGAACCCCTCCGGCCCAGAGCCTACTGAAATGATGCAAACGAGCGGGTCCTAAGTCTATTTACCCCCTTCACCTGTTCCTTCCCTTGGAAACCACAATGAAGGCTCCTTACCCACATCTTCCCCTTGCCCCTCTGCCTTCTGACCAACCCTGGTGCTTCCCTACATGATCCTGCCCGGCAAGGCGTACCCTCTCCACTTGGGAGCTGGGAGTAAGACTGTCTTCAATGGCACTTGTCTCATGATCTGTTGGCCTCATCGTGCCTGAATAATAATAAAACCTACATTTAGAAACAACTGACCCAGGCCAGGAGGTTCAGGGAGGGAGGCTTCCTTGGAGGAAGTGCCATCACCAATGCGTCTTAAGGGAGATGTTAGCTGGGAGACCGGACGGTGGGGCAGGGGTGGGTGTCCCCAGTAGAGGGGTCAGGACCTACAGAAGAAATGACCAGGACCATGCGGTCTGACTGCACTGTAGGGTGGGAACGGGGGAAGGGGCTTTGTCTAGCTCTCCCGCTTTGGTCTCCAAGCTGTGTTTCTCAGCTCCTAATACTCCCAAAAGACAGACCTGTGAATTCTCTGTAGTCTGCAGGAGCCCGGCAGGGGAGATGTCACGGGTCCTGCCACCGGCCTGGGAAGGTGCCACAGGTCTCACAGCCATTCCCACCTACGGAACAAGGAGTGGGGTTTTCATAGACCATAAAGACAGTAGCAGAGCCAGCCCAGACTCAAGGCAGGGCCGCCCATCAGCCTAACGGCAGAATGGGTGTGAGGACCACCGCGGGCCCTGGTGCCCACTCCCTTCCCCGAGCCTTCTCTCCCACCACCTTCCGATGGACTTCCTTACAAAGGAAGCTGCCAGCCTGAGCAATGCGAGGGAACTTGCTGACCCTGAAGCCCCGAGGCCCAGTCCTGGCTGCCCCATCTCCTGGCTGAGCGCCTCGGCCCTATCCACACGTTTTAAACTTCTCTGAGCCTCTGTTTTCTTCTTGTAAAATAGAAATAAAAATAGCTCCTATTCACCAGATTGTTTCAAGGCTGGGAGTGCAAACCCCGAGGGAGCCCCCTGGGCCTCAAATGTCGACAGGCTTCTTCCTTCCAACCCCTTCCCTGCCCATGCACACACCTCTACCCTGCCCTTGTAGGAACACTCACCCTTCCTTGTTCAATTTCTCAGATGGAATGTCCTAGAAAGCAGAGAGGCTTAGCTAGAAAATCTGAGCATCCTGCCAGGGCTGACAAGCGTAAGAAGCATGGTCAGGGAGCTTGAGCCCCCAGTCGGGCCAGTCACCTCCATCCCCTGTTCCCCACACACTGCTGAGCACTTCTCTCACTGCCTGAAATGGGTGGGGTGGGGGGTAGGGTGCTCCTGGCAGGGCCTTGGGCCCCGCCGATCTCACACCGGAGGGGCTGAGCCCCAAACTTGAAAGAGAAAGAGCCTCCCTCCACCGACTCCCCCATCCCAGTCATCAGTGACCACCTCCTTCTTCTCTCTCTCCTCTGCATCCACTCGGTCTTCGTTAGTAAGCTTCAGATCTCAGCCACGTCAACTTTAACTCCAGAGCCTTAAGGAAACGCTGAGCCAGAAAAAAAGAAAAGAAAAGAAAATGATGTTTGAACCTTGGGATTTCAACAGACTTGGCAAAACCGAACTTCTGAGAGCTGCTGAGAATCTCGAAGTTTGTAATGCCGGTGGCAGGGGGAGCTTTGGATGGTGGGTCAGGTGCTAGCTTTCCGTGCTCTTCCCACTCACTCAGCAAGGCAGAGCCATTTAAATCGTCCTTAGCCACCATCACGTGGGCGAACGTTTGCAAGCATGTGTGGCATTATGTAAAGGGAATGCAGGACCCAGAGACGCTGCTCTCAACCCAGAGTGGTTCCCAAGGCCAGGGACTCTGCACAGCGGACCTGTGGATAGATCTAGCAAGGTAGCCTAGTGCACAGGTGGGCCGGGGCTTCCCAGGCTAGGCCCGGTCAAAGGCGGAGTAGGCCAGTGACAGCTCTATGCCTGCGTATGTGTGTGTGTACTGAGTGTGTGCGTGGGGGGGGGCAGGGGGAAGGGGGTAGATTTTAGTACAACCTCAGTGAAGGCCTATTTGGTGATGGGTTTCCCAAGCTTTAAAAATGTGTCTGACCTTCAAGAAGGAGAAAAACAGCTTGTGAGCTCCAGGAGCTGGTCTGGCTCTCCTGCTAGGCTTTGCTGTTCTCCAGTTGAGCACAGTTTCGAAGAAAATCAGTGTCAGACGAGCCACGCTGTGACGGATCGAGGCTGAAACAAGACCATGCCAGAACCAGCCTAAACACAGAACATGTACATGATCCATGCCACAAAAAAAAGCCCAAATATATCCTTTCATCCCAGCTAATTTATATGAGCAACTACTGCTTCTTTGCCAATTACAGCTTTGCCTTAGTCTAGATACGATGTACGGAGATACCCAACCTGAGAACCGTCTCTGCCCTGAGAGCATCCGACGTGGAACAAAGCCCTGCTTCCTTGCATCTTCCCCAGCAGCTTCGGACCCAGGTCCAAATCCTACACCACCTGCCTCCGCCCACTCCCTTACCACCCTGCCCCACAGCCCCTCCTGCCGGCTGTCCCCCCTCACTGCAACGAGCCGCTTGCTCATTGAGCCAGCTGACTCAACACGGGTGTTCCTGGCGGCCTTCGGCTGGAGTCGTGACAGCATCCACCCAGGTTACCCACTTTAAAAATCCAGCCCAAGGAAAACTCATGTTCATAAATTTATATGCATAAGGAAACACAGTGCAATGTGCGTGCATAATAATGGCACAACATTGAACACCATATAAATGGTCATCAGTGGGCGGTTGCTTAAATACATTTTGCAACCACGGAACACATGCAGCCATTCGAAATGGTGACAAAGAGCTGTATTTATTGATAGAAAAGTTCACGTCACATGAGGGCTACACTGTAGTATCACATGAAAAAAAGGTTTACAAAAAGGTATGCAGGGGCCTTGCAAAACTCTAAACAATCCCGCTTTTCTAAAGTAATAAATATTTAATACACTGAGAAAAAAGTATAGAAAAATAAATATAAAAACATTAATTATTATTTCTTGGTTTGGGGATTATGGGTTTATTTTTTTTCTCACCTGTATTTCCAGACTTCTTAGTGATGGAAATTTTTTTTCAAGATTGATTTATTTGAGACAGAGGGTGTGCATGGGAGCGGGGATGGGGGAAGGGAAAGTGGGAGAGGGAGAAAAAGAGTCTCAAGCAGACTCTGCACTGAGTGGGCACCAGACCTGGGGCTCGATCCCATGACCCTGAGATCATGACCTGAGCCGGAATCAAGAGGCAGCTCAACCAACTGAGCCATTCAGGCTCCCCCCGAAATGTTTTACTTAGGCAGTAAGAAAAGTAGGAACTTTCAAGAGCTAGGGGCTGGGCCGTTCGAGAACACAGCTGAGATCAGAGTCCAGCGGGAAGGGTAGAGGAGGGGTTTGGTCTGGACAAGTAAGCACTGGGGTGAGGGGGCAGGGCGGAGCCCCACAGAGGAGACCCTGGGAGGCGGGACCCAGTGGACGTGGCTGGCTGGGCAGTGCGAGGAGGCCGACCCCTGGCCTGTCTTAGGGTCCCAGTCAGGTGGGGTTGACGGTGGGACTAGAGGCTGGGACTGTCTTCCAGGGAGGCGGGTGTCGTCTTTCCTTCCCTGTGGGGTCCCTGCTCCATCAGGCATCAGGGGGGCAGGGGGGAGGGGCACCCGAGTGGTGGGCCACCAGGGGCTCGGGGCTGCTTTCCAAGCGCACACAGCACACCCACACCCCACCGGCACACTCGGGCCCCCAGAAAAAACGCCTCCATAGCCTAACACCACTAGCTGAGAGTGTGCCTTATTTGGAAACAGAGTCTTTGTAGATGTAACTGGGAACATGAAGAATATCCTGGATTTTCGAGTGGGCCTGACATTCAAAGAGTGGTGTCCTTATGAGAAAGAGAGAGAGAGAGAGAGAGAGAGAGAGAGAGAGAGAGAGGAGGGAGCTGAGACATGGAGGAGACTCGAGTGACGCAGCCACCAGCCCAGGGACGCCAGGGACCACCGGCCACTATCCAGAAGCTGTGAGAGAGGCAAGGAACAGGTGCTACCTCTGGGCCTCAGTGGGGAGCAAGCCCACCGACCCTCTGATTTGGGACTTCTGGCCTCCAGAACTCTGAGAGCAAAAAACCTCTGTTGTTTTAAGCTGCTGAGTGTGTGATGTTGTGGCAGCAGCCCTAGGGGACGAAGACACCTCCCACCCTCTCACTGGCCACCCACCCCGTATGCCCACCCTTGGGCCTGGGGGCCCTGAGAAGGCCAGGAGCAGTTAAGGCATCTACCAGCGGGCACATCCCCATTTCCCCTCCAAAGCGGCCCCACTGCCTGTCTCCCACGGTCACCGCTAGCCCATGCCTGGTCCTTTAGAGGGAACTGGGCGATGTTTCAGGGTTGATTGTCACATAATAAGGGAACGCGTAGGAAGAGGGACAGCCTGCTACTTCCTCAAGCCAGGAAAGGGAAATAGATTTTCCCGCCAAAGCTCAGAAAGGCCTTGTAAAAACAAAATCTGTTTGAATTCGAAACACTCAATCGTTTAAAGAAGTCAATATACTTTTCATTAGCTTCCATCTTACCAACAGCCACGATAACGCAGGAAATGCTCTTGACGTCTACAGACAAAAGACGGAGCCAGAGAGAAGAGGTGAAGGGCCAGATCTGATAGGATTTTAACAAAGGCAAGAAAAGACTCAGCCCTTCCCAGAAAATAAATCAGAGCCACACGTATTGCCAAGATCCAAAGAAAAAAAATTTATTTACAATAGAGGATTTTATTTGAAACATGCATTTTTTTTTAAAACAAATCAGCAAATGCAGATCAAGTTTACATTCCTTAAGGCAAGAGTCCCTGTGCAAGCTGTACATGTTCATATTAAATCCAAAAGCCGCTCACCCTGGGAACTCATGTACAAAGGGCAAGGCCAAGGTCAGCGATTTGTCTTTTATGTAGAGAATCAGACAATCTCCCTGATACAGGAACTCTGAGGTCAACTTGCTATGAATTTATACTAAGAAAATGCAAACCAATAGCAAGAAATTCTGACAGTCTCCTTAGTACTGCATACAATCAAATCAACGTTATTTAGAAAGAAAATACAGTAGTGCATACGAAAAAGTGAGAACAGAATCTGTCCACGTAACTAGAAGGACAGCAGTGTGCCGACGGTCATATTGCACGCAATGGTCAAGTCCAAACATTTGGTTCAAAGTTAGCTTTTCCCCATTTTGGCAATCAGTTCATCACAGATCTTGGTGAGTTCTTCTATCTCTTTATTCTGAAAGTGAAGAAAACAAAACAAAAAAAAGAAAAGGTTGCTGAAATCTCCCTGCTGTTGGAAATGAAGCCGATCAGAAGGGTCTTTGGGCTTTTCAGGGTATAGGGCCCCCCCGGGGCTCCCGGGGGGCCCCCTGCAATTATCTAAAGCAGTGAGCAAAACGACTTGGGAGACAAATAATCGAAGCACACATCCCAGCTCTAGCTGTGACCTTGAGCAAGTTACACCACCTTTCTGAGCCTTGGTGTCCTTATCTCTACAACGTGAACATCTCTCGCTCGCTAAGGGTGGAATGGGGTCAGAACGTAAAGCTCCCTAGCACAGTGACCAGCACGCACTAGAGGCTTAATTAGTATTGGTTCTCTTTCTTTTATTTGCCTCTGAAGGATATGGACACAAAAGGATGGTCCAGGGTGAGCTCTTTGGTGGCTTTTTTTGAGAAATGCCACCAGGAGGGGTGAAGCAATCCTACTTGAATAGGGTCACTAGCATTATTTAGAGGATGCTAAATGAAGGGGGTGCTGTGGATACAAGGCGTCGAGGAGAGAGGCAGGGGCAGGTGCAAGACAACTTCAGGTGTCCCTCACGCCACACCCTGCCCGGGCCCTGAAGCAAGGGAAGCCAACCACATGCTCGCCTGGCACCAACGATCACCCAACACCGTCCATGCTCTAGTACAGGGATCCGATGGGATGAGTCCATTCAAAGGCAGGTGCGGCTTTGCTCTGATGCTGACCTGCTTCAACAGCCGATCTCAAATGGCCCTCTCCAAGGGGGCGAGAGCTTTCTGGTAGCCCAGGAACATACTGCAGCCACTCCTTTGAGGTCCCCACGGAAGATGAGTCTTAACCACACGCCTCTGGGCTGAGACTGTACAGAGGCCCTTGGAAACTATGGAAACCTCCTGAGACACAGTCCAGCCCAGAGCTACACGTCCTGTGTTTCCAGGCTGGGCTCCCGGCACCCCCTGTGACTGTGTCACTATTGGGAACAGTCGGGGAGCCCTCAGTGGAAGAGAAACGCAGCCCTTGCTGTGGTCCAGCCACCAGCCCCTGCCGGGAGTGAGCCCCACCTGGAGCAGCACCTCGGCTTACCCCCTTCTAGAGTTTCCAGCTCGGAGAGGCACTGAAACGCCTGTTGGAAGATGCTGTTATATGGGACTGTGACCCTAACCTCGAATCCTGTTAAGGATTCTTGAACGGCCGCTGCTGGTGACTTTTCATGTTTCATGTGTGGCGCCCACCATGCCCACCACGCCCCAGGCACCTGCCCCACTCGGATCTCACAACCGTCCCCACATGGGAGCCGCTGACAGTTCTACTTCTCAGTAAGAAACCGGGGCTCAGAGAGGTTAAGTGTTTGTGCTTAATTTAAGGCTACACAGCCGGTCCGATGCAGCAGGCCCGGGGCGTGAATTCAGGCTGGCCTGGCTCCTAGATGGCTTTGCTGTCTGATTTATTAAACATCGTATCCAGCGACTGATGGCTGAGAGGCACTAGCAGACCCGCTAGCTATCGATTCCTGGAGGTTCTCCAAACCCATCTTGGCGCCAGCAGCCGACCGCCTAGCACACGGCCATCGTGCAGCTCAGCTCACTGGGTTTCCAACAGCCCAACTGGACAAAATGTCCAGCACCTCCACTTAAGAACTGCCTGGAGCAGGGGCATCAGGCTTCTGAATCTCTTTAAAACAGAGACCGGGGATGCCTGGGTGGCTCAGTGGTTGAGCATCTCCCTTCGGCCCAGGGCATGATCCTGGAGTCCTCAGATCGAGTCCCACGTCGGGCTCCCCACATGCAGCCTGCTTCTCCCTCTGCCTGTGTCTTTGCCTCTCTCTGTGTCTCTCATGAATAAATAATAAAGTCTTAAAAATAAATAAATAAAACAGACACCGACCTCTGTATCACCCAGAGTCCTTTTGGGGAGAACGTGTGTGATTAACCCCATTCCTCCCCAGTTTTAGTTTAAGAAAGAATTACGTGTGTAGCTCTGTTTGTAGCTTTTCTGTTCTCCAAAACCATGCAAGCTGCCTTGCCTCCTTATCTTTCATTTTGCCAGGACACTTAGCATCACCTTCGTCTGGCAACCGGGGAGAGAGTCTAAACAGGCCAGGTTGCCTAGAGAACATCTATCCTGACTCCGGTTTCACCTCTATTATTTTAGCTAACACCGTGATGCAGTTCAAACACCGTCAAATGCCGACAGAAATAGGAGGGAACAGATCTACTGCTACATTTCTCACCTAGAAACATTTGATGCAAAAAAAAAAAAAAGGAAATATTTGATGCACAACTGCCTCATCGCCCAAAATGATGGGAGAATGTGGTCTGTAACTTAAATGAGTATTCCACTTCTCAAGAGTCATCAAATAAGCCACACAGGGATTATGAACATTCTAAGAATAAACACCCACTCCAGACGAACCGTGCTGTGTCACTCGATAAACACAGATGGAATGAGCCAATGCTCGTGTTTGACAGCTCTGACTGTGCTCACGGCTAGGAACAAGGATCAGAGCCCAGAAGATCGGGGCAGTTGAATAGATTTGGCATATTTGGCACAGTCTTGGCTCTTTCTTTCTTTTTTTAAAAAATACTATTCTGACTGGTGGCCATTTGTCTGCTTCATTCCGAAGGGAAAAGGTAAAGAACAAAAACAGTCTGGAAATGTGAGTTTTCTAGTTGTTGAATTCTGGATGACCAGGAACAGACTGTAGACCCAGCGCCAAGCGGAGGCCAGGTTGCAATGACATGTGGACCCAGGGGAAGTCCACCTGACTACTAGAACCGTAGAATTTTCAGGGCTCGAGGGACCCTTCTGGACCTTTGGGTTTCAACCTCCAACATGACAAACCTACGACCTGAGGGGAGGTGTGAGGCTTGTCCGGGGTCATAATGGATGGCGAGGGGTGGGGAGGACCTGAGGCTCCCGAGTCCCAGGACTCTTTCTGTGACATCACTTAGGTGAAGTGACAGGTTATATGTGCCCACTGCTTGGCCCAGACCCACCTTGGGACCACAGCCAGCCCCACCGGAACCTGGCTGGGTATGGGTATGGGTATGGGTATGGGTATGGGAAGAGGGCCAATCGGAGGCCACTGTGTGCTTCTGGGGTTAGCAGAGGCCACTGGGGAGACATGCTGGACTTCAGATGCCATCTGCCCACAAAGGACTCACCCACTGTGACTGTCCTTTAGGGCCCAAATCCATGAGAAGTGATGCTACTCCAGGCCACTGGGCTCTCTGATACCCATCCTAAGGGTTAGCAAATCAACTAGCATGGGGTTGCTTGTCTGGAAACTTTCTAAAAACACACCTAGGAGGGGTGCTGCCTGGCCTGCACTTACCCAGAGTCAGAGTCCTATGCACTCCTGGGCAGCAGGGGTTTCCCATTTGGACACCCAGGGAGAAGGTGCGTACGGTGGACTGGGCGCTAGACTCAGGACAGGCTAAGGGACCTCAGGAGGATTTCCTCATCCATGGATGCAGGAGGACTTCTGGGGGCCTTTTAACCCCAACATGGCCTGGTGATTACCCCATTCCCTCACAGTGGGTAAGCAGTGGATGCTGGGTAAAGCATTATGCCTGGCACACTATAAATACTTAGCAAATGTGTGACAAACGAATGCTGAGAAGGAATGAAAACCAGCCGTAAACATCTGAGCAGAGAGCAATTCCAGGAAAGGCTGGAAAGAGGAGCGTAATGGGGCTGGCGTTACACTGGATCATCCAGGGGGAGGGCAAGCATATGCTCACGAGACACAAGGCTGTCCCAGGAGCTGCGGAGGGCGCAGGGATGCCCGGTTCCCCCCTCCCCCGGCTGTTACCTTCTGCTCCAGCGTCCTCTCCAGAGCATCCACGCGAAGCTGCTCCTTCCGCAGACTGGCCTGGTAGGCAGCCTGTTCCTGCTGGGCCTTGCCTCGGACCTGCGCGATCTCGGCGTTGGCCCTGCGGGAACCGGTCAGGGGACGCTCAGAAATTATCATCCTTCCCCGGAGACCCCGCCTGGCTCCAGCTCCTACCACCGAGGGCCTAGTTCAGGAGCCCACCAGCACCCCCTGCCCCCAACCCCCATTCCCGAGATCCTGAGGTGCTCTGAGTGGGTGCCCTGGAAATTACAACATGCGTCCTTCACTTATCAAAATGCTGAGAGTACAGTGTTGTCATGGGCCACAGTGAGGAAACACAAATGGATCATCTGCCCTTCCCAAGCCAGTGCGAGTGGAGCCACCTGAACGCCTGGCCTGCCTTGGCAGGGGCGCTAAGAGGCCTCTGGGAGCAGACCCGTGGCCGCATTACCTGTCCAGCTTCTCCTCCGCATGCACCTTCAGGGCTTGGTACCTCTGCTCCTCTTTCTTCACTCGGGACAGATACTCTTGTGCACACTTCTTCAGCACCTCTTCATTCTGACACGACAGAGGACAGAGGTTGTGCCCACAGAAGAAATGCCCCAGATGCTGGGAACCCCAAGAACTCCCCAATGCAGGTGGAACCCTGGCCAGCCCGGTCCAACTCCCTAGAATCTCTCCCCACCTGTCCCACACTCTCCCATCCCACAGGTCCAGCCCTCTGCTCTGCTCCCACACAATCGCACCTTGCGGAAGCCCTCAAGGACCTCCTTCATCTTCTCGTATCTCCTGAAGAGATCAGCCAGGGATTTCTCCACGGAGTTTAGGTCAGCCAGGGCTTGCTCCTTCTCCAGGACCAGCTGCTGGACGGTCTGGTGGGAGACAGACTTCTCCCTCTGCTCGTCCTCTGGCAAGAGACACAAGGAACCAGATGATGAGGCTGGGGGATCCTAACATGGTCTCAGGGGCAGCCAGGGCCTCAGATGCAGCTCAGTCTAAGCAGTAGGGCATCCCAAACTCGGGACAGACCCACTCCCTGAACCCACCTAGACTCTGTTTCTAAAGGAACAATACCCTCGGCCTCAGCATCCCAGGCCTGCACCTTTACAGTGTAATATGGGACGGAAACTAGCCACTGTTCTTTAGCCCTATCAATGCAGACCCTTAAAAATCAACCCCCAGTGATTCTAGTTGGTCGATGATGGCAAATAGATCCATAGGCAGGGGGAAAAATCATTACTGAATTTTGCGTTGAGCAGGATTAAAAGGTACAGTAGTCTGGGCTCTGAGGACCGGGCCTTTCTATGTGTTATCAACATAAAGAGATGGTGATTGGAAATGAAAAAAAGGTGTCTTCATCCCTTGAAACATCCCATGAACCAAAGGCCACATCACGGTCAGCCCTGAAACTCTGCTTCACACAGAAACGGACATTTCCTTTGATACAGCGAATGTCTTAACTCCGAGAAAAACAGCTCTTTCTGTCAAGTGGGTTTCTCAGTTATGTACAAGAGAATGAGTCCTGGCCCGGTTCGGAGTGGCTGATCCTACTAAAAGGAACTGCTCTGTCCTTGACCCCACCTCTCTGGGCCACGAGCTAACACTCTTCCCCGAACATCTTGGAAACCACCTGCTATTTATGGGAAGGGCTTTCTCCAACCACTCCACATAAAAGCTTCTCACCCACATGGCACTGTCTTTTGTGTGCTGACCTGTTTGTCAATGGTCTAGGTGGGCAAGGAACCTTTTGTTCCCAACCATTTGGACCCCTGGTGACAGCACAGAGTGGGGAGGGGGGAGGAGAAGCCCCCACTCAGAGCTCTTGGGGGTAAGTAGCTCTGTAGACCTGGCCTTCCATCAGCCCCAGGTCACCCGGGCAGGGGTCCCGCTGCCCACCACTGCCTCCAAGGCCTGGTTGCCATATAGGGCAGATTTCTCTGGAAACGATGACAGACATAACAACAGCAACCAGCACGCACCCAGCTCTTCCACACGTCAAGCATTCATTTCATGCTCCTAAGCCAGCACCCAGGCACCAAACTAAACTTCCTTAAGTCCCAACTGGGTCACTTCACTCAAGCTCAGAGCCCGTGTGCACTGGGAATGAAACCCCAACCCCATCCCCACCTGCTCCAGGTACAGTGGTCGGCACACCCCAGGTGGTCCTGCCCCAGGGCTCATGGTCCAGAGTTTCCATGGTTCCCCACTTGCTCACTCAGGTCCCTGACACCAGGCCACCTCCCCAGAGGTGCCTTCCGAGCACTGGTGGGGGAATGCCTCCTCCCTACTTTCCAATCCATTCTCTTCCCAGAAACAGCCGGATGTGCATGTGCATGTGTGTCTGCCGGCTGGCTGTCTGCCTACAAGACATGCTGCAGGAGGGCAGGGTCTTGAGTCACAGGACGCCTCAAAGCATCTGTGCTGTGGATGAATGAGTGGAGCCTGGCAGCAGAGCACCCCAAACCGTGCCCATAACCTTGTCTCTCCACCGGCTTCTTAATAATAGACCTGGGAGCTCCCTTAAAAGCAGGGTCTGGGGCGCCTGAGTGGCTCAGTCAGTTAAGCATCTGCCTTTGGCTCAGGTCATGATCCCGGGGTCCTGGGTTCGAGCTCCGTGTTGGGCTCCCTGCTCAGTGGGGGGGGGGTCTGCTTCTTCCTCTCCCCCTCCCCCTGCTTGTACTTACTCTCTTTCAAATAAATAAATAAAATCTTAAAAAAAAAATAAAAACAGAGGGAGGCTGGGGATTAAGGAGGGCACTTGTGATGAGCACCAGCTGTTGCACGCATGTGTTGTATCACTATACTGTACACCTGAAACTAATATTACACTGTATGTTAACTGACCGGAATTTAAATTAAAACTTAAAAAAAAAAAAAAACGGGGGTGGGGGCATGCCTGGGTGGCTCAGTGGTTGAGCATCTGCCTTTGGCTCAGGGCGTGATCCTGGAGACCCCGGGATCGAGTCCCACATCGGGCTCCCTGCATGGAACCTGCTTCTCCCTCTGCCTGTGTCTCTTCCTCTCTGGCTTTCTGTATCTCTCATGAATAAATAAAATCTTAAAAAAAAAAAAAAAGCAGGGGGATGCCGCTTTGGGTTCTTTCCCTTAGGTTCCTGATAGATAGGCATCTTCCTGTATCCTGAAGTTAGGCCTATTCCCAGAGCCTCTGCTACCTGGGCGGAGGTGAAGGACCCGGGCGCCAGACTCTGACTCCATCCTGGTTCCGACACCTCCCAGCTCTGCTAACCCTGGGCAGGGTTTTTGTTAACACCCCCAAGTCTTAGCCTCCTGAGCAGAAAGAGGGGCTCACGGTATTTATCTCACGGCATTTGGGCAAAGATTAAATGAAAATAAAGCCTCTCACACACAGTGAGAACCCAGGACCCGTGACCCATGACTGACAGCATCACTGGCTCCCCGACGCTGGCGGGATGTCACCAGTCACGGTGACTTACAGACGGGGAGCTGTTTCACATCCAGCGAGGCCAGGACTGCCGGCAGTCTGCTTGCCACACCTAGCCTCCCGAGACCAAAGACGCTTCAAAGTTCCACCAGTAACTGAACGCTTATTTTTATTTTTTTGAGTTTTAGCTGCTTCCTTAGTCCTCCGCACACCGCACAATGCACATTCTGGGCTGATCTGAGGCCATGTCTACGTTTCACTTGGCTTGTAGAGAACTATTTATCAAACGGAGTCCATCTGATTTCCTGGATCTGAGACTTAGCCTGCCTCAAGTTTCCTGTCCTCCCCATAAACGCTTGTAAAAATAGAATTTCCCGGTTCCCAGGAGGCCGAGGAGGTGAGAACGCAGCGCAGATCTTTTTTGCAAACTGCAAACGTGGTCAGGTCCTTCCAACCAGGAAATCGGCCCCCGACTCCAAATGCTCTAGACTCGACCACAAAACAATGCCCCTGGAGACGTTTCTGGCTTTTCTGGGGCAAAACATTATTAAATCGTGTGGGGTGGGGGTAGGGGAGAAATGCAGCAAATACACACAACAGCAAAAGTTAACAAAAATAGAAACAAACAAACCAACGCGGGTTGCGATGGGCAGGTGTTAAATTAGGTGAAAAGCATTTACTTACCAGGCTTGCCTGTTTGTTTTGCAAGCAAAGGGCAAGAAGCAACAGAAAATGGAAGCAAAACAGATAATCAGAGCAGTTGTTAGGAAAGCAGAAAAAAAAAAATCAATTGCCAACAACCTGCAATGAAAAAAAGCACAGAGGTCTCTTTTGGTCCTGAATCCTAAATATTCAATATCTGAACTCGATTTTAGTAACATGGCACGAGAACGGACGATGATGGCAGGACACATGTCACGCTGGCGTGAAACGTTTGTGAGGGTTACATGGAAGTCAGAGAGCCGGGCTGGAGCCAGGAGGAGTTCGTGTACCGGGGGGGTGGAACCTGGTTTTAACTTCAAAATGCTATTAGTGTCCATTCTGCCCCAAACCGCCGAGCTCCTGGGGCCTGAGTCTTTCCTCCTACCAGGGATGCCGGTTAGATGAGTGAAAACCAGAAGGGATAGGGGACCCAGAGGAGCCATGAGGGTATGCTTCCACAAATGGGGACTCAAGGCCTGCCCAGAAGGAGGGCAGGTGTCGCCCCCAGCAATAGGTGCCTCTGCCCCAAACCATCTTCTATAAGGACACGAGGACGTGGAAATCTGCAGCAGCCCTCATCAATGCCCTGCAGTAATGACTGACGGGATGACAGCCACAGACGTGCCGCCTGATGAACAAGGTCTGAGAAGTGGCTGATGAAGAGGACACTGAAGGTGCAATAGGATGGAGAACCAGGGATGGACGTGAGCTGCTACACCCCCGGAGTGACAGCGCCACTTGCAGCTAGGGACCCTGGAGGGGTCTCACGGAGCCGCCGGGAGTGCCCAAACACCCCCAAACAGGAAAATGCTCGGACGGGTGAGATCACAGCTCTGAAAGAGAGGGACCCTCGGGCCAAACTTCCCAGGTGTCCCCAGGGGAGGGGGCTGTTGTAGTTGGGGGTAGGTGTGCGTAGCCATAACCCCCACAGCCAGGGTTCCACTCTGTTTGCCTGGATTTGAAATGTTCTTCTAACTACTCTCATCTGGAAATATGCTATGAGGAAATCAGAGTTGAATAAGCTTTCTGTCCAAGAGGGACAGACCACCTATGCCAGGTAGACAGATCCTTACTCTTGGGTTTTCAAGAAGGAATGTCCGCTTCTATCAAAACTGCCAGCTGAACAGTAACAACTGGCTCTGGGCAGCCTTCTCTCAGGGCAAAGGCTCATGCCCTTTTAACCTCATCTCAATATTGGCCCAAATGTCATCATCAAGTGCAAAAATAGCAGTGTAGACCTCTGACATGCAGAAGGATGTTTCCAGATGAGCCACCATAGGTCTGAGTGACATTTTCACAACCCGAGACTCCGGGAGGCCAAAAGGATGTACTCAGCATGCCAAACACTATATATTGGAAGACATAAATCCTATTTCCTGACTCCTTTTACAGGCAGTTCCAAGAGTTTTGTTTTTTATCTCCTCCATATGTATTCATAAACTCTGATACCAATTTAATAAAGAAGTTTCATTTGATAGAAAGCATATACCATGAGCTGATCCTTAGAAACACCCAAAAGGGCTTTCCCTGAGATCTGGGAGAAATGGCCTCTATTACAATACATCAAAATGAAAGCTGCTTTGAATAGAAAGCACTCGGTTGTCGGCCTCTTCACCATTCCCAAGCCTGCGCTCAAATTTAGCTTGGGAGAAGCGAGAGGTGTGGTGTGACTCGTATCCAAATGTTGGAAAGAGACGAGTCATCTGTTAACCCAGCGTCCAGCTTCGAGACAGAAACTGGTTTGCGGTGAGCTGGGATTTTTACTCCATATGTCCTTAGGAGTAAAAGATTTTTTAAAACTGATATCACGGACCTAAGTAGCCAATTAAATAAGTAGATAAACAAAAATCTCCTTCTTCCCACCCGTTGCCAAGTCATAACATCATTTCTGAAGGGTGATCATTGGCGTAAAAACGGGCTTAGAACTTCTGCAAGATCTTTTCTCCTCATCATTATTTTTTTAAAGAGAGTCAGTCAGGTGTGTGTAACTCATGACTTGAGGCCGTCTTTTATTGAGGGCCAAAGCAGCGTCAGTGCTGGCTGCCAGGGACTCTGTGCTAAGATGGATTCTGAGTCAGTGCCTATCTCACTGAGGTCACGGAAATCGCAGGAGGGAGGGGAGAGGAGGAGCAGGCAGCAGGGCTACCACGTGGTCCACTACCCTTGCCCTAGAACGCTGCATCAGGATATTTTGTCACTTGAGTCTAAATAGAGTTTAGGGATTTGATTCTTAGTCTCTCCCATGAGCAAAAACTCTCACAAACGTCCTAGGAACCAACCCATCTCTTTCCCCATGAGGTGGGCAGTCCTGGCTGAATCAATGGTGGCCGTGGAGGTGACCGCCATGGCTTCCCACAGGTACAGATAACCCTAAGGGACATGCTAGCAGGTGTTCCCAGGATGCACCCAGGCTCACATTCTGGGATGCTTTGGTCTCTCCCTGAAGGACTTCGTGCTCTAAGAGGGGCTAAAGACAAACACACTCTGGAGTCCACCTTCAAAGCCCTCCCCATGGTTTAGAAGCCTCAGGGAGGCCTGAGCCCACCAGTTTCAATACCCACCTATCATCTGAGCGATGGTCTTCTCATACTCGGCCACTATTTTCCTGTAAGAGAAGTAAAAACATGTTGGAACCATGACAACAGGACGGTTTCTTTTTGTTTTTAAAGATTTTATTTATTTATTCATAGAGACAGAGAGAGAGAGAGAGAGGCAGAGACACAGGCAGAGGGAGAAGCAGGCATCATATAGAGAGCCTGACGTGGGACTCGATCCAGGGTCTCCAGGATCATGCCCTGGGCTGCAGGCGGCGCTAAACCGCTGCGCCACCAGGGCTGCCCAACAGGACGGTTTCTAATTGATACCAGAGCTCATGTGCTGGGCATCAGCTGCCTGACCAAGACATTAGAGGACAAGTCGTATTTGTCCTGGTTGGCTCACAACTCTAGCTTCACCTTCAAACTCAACCCTCTTCTTGCACACCCAAGAACGTTCGTTTTTCTAGTGCAGGACTCTGAACACACTATGTCCCTGTGCAAAACCTTCAAGGCATCCCCACTGCCCATCGATTATAAAAATGAGACCCTCTCAGCCCTCCACAGCCTGAGCCTGATCACTCTCATCAATCTTCCTTCCTTGCCATCTCATGAACAAAGTGGTTCAGTGAGAACAAATGAGTTATTGTTGGCTCTGGGATTTCTCATCTCCATGACCCTGCGCAGGTTATTCACTTCCCCGCTCTAGCTCCACCTCTCCTTGTCTTAGCTGCTCCTCAAGGCCCCATTCAAATGCTATTTCCTCTAGGAAGCCTCCCTTGATTTCTCCTCTGAAATTCATGACATTTTATCTGAATCTTCTAAAACATCTCACACATCTGGCATCATAGTACAGGAGTAGAAGAAGCTCTTCAAGGCCCAGGGGCCACTACTTTGTCACCTGTGTTGCGGGGAGGGAGATGGGGAACAGTAGCACTTCTTGGATAGCTTCAACAAACTGTAGCTACACAGCAGCACTCAGATCCCTTGCTTATGAGACTGCCTCACTGCTGCCCCCAGGTGGAAAGACCCTGGAGTAAGGAAGCCTTCCCTTTTCTAAAGTCAACCTTTTGGAAGGAACCTCTCAAAAAAGACTTGGGGTTTCACCTACATTATCCGATAGTTATTCTCCACAAGAGAACCAAGAACTGCTAACCACCAACAGATCCAGCACGCTGATTACAGCTGGTCCCACCTCTCCTAGCTGTGTGACTCAGTCACATTGGTCACAGACACTGGGGGCTCAGCTTACTCCCTGGTATGGGGAGGATTACCCTAGACCCTGACTTTCAGGGCTGTGGGAGAATTAAATGAGGTTGAAAGGGCCAGTGAAAACAGAAGGCACTCTGCAAAATGTAATAACCTCACAACTGCTGGGTGTCTGTCCCCAGCTTCTTGACCTTGGCCCCAAGGACAGCGCCTCACCCAAGGGCTGACTCACAACAAGAAAGGTGACCATGCCATGAGCCCATGTGGGTTCTTTCTGAATCCTATACAGAAGCGCTTTGTGTTTCCTGTAATCAATACCTCCTTGTATCCCTGAAGCACAAAACAGCAAAGGACCTTTGAGGCTCTACCATCTACACCCATCCCTGCCAAGGACACAGGCTGGACCACAGTAGGTAAGGGATGTGTCCTTCCAGCCATGTGTGGGGACACCTGTGGTCCAGAGCGGCTTCAGTGGCACCATATCTGTACCTCGTCTTCACAGCGATCCCCAAAGAGGGGTGCCCTGAGGATCCCCAGAATTGCTGATGGGGATACTGAGGCACAGGGTCACCCAGGAACCTTTCTAGGATCCCAGGGCTACAAAGCAGCAGAGCTAAGATTCGATTCCAGACATCCATCTCTGGAGTCTCCTCATACCCCTTATGCCTTATTGCCCAGAGGCACAGAGATCCACCCTTGTTCATAGAGGAGGTAACTCAGATAGAGTTAAGGAACAGACCCCAAAGCAGCCAGGAAGCCAAGCCTGATTTTCACCTGGCCTGGTCTGGCTCCAGAGGTAGACACGTGGGCTTTCAAACACGAGCACAGCTGTGTCAGCTGGCAATGCCTAAATCCGAACCTACTGGTTAGTAAACAGCACTTCCTGGGGCCCCCAGAGATGGAACCTCTAGCCTTCCCAGCACGTCCTGCTTTCATGATCAGGGCAGGGAAAACATTACAGCCATGCTGCTTCCTCCTCCACTCCCCTACCAAAAAAAAAAAAAAAAAAGAAAGAGAGAGGGAGGAAGGGAGAAAGACAAAAGAAAGAAGTTTTCAAATGATGCCACCACATGTCCTCAGTGTAAAATGTGAATAGCACACTGGGATTCACCTCCAGAAGTGGTCACAAAAAGCATCAGTAGGAAGAAGGAATGAACAGGAGAATTTTCAGGAAGATACTATTTGACTTAGAAACCAGGGCTGGGGATCCCTGGGTGGCGCAGCGGTTTGGCGCCTGCCTTTGGCCCAGGGCGCGGTCCTGGAGACCCGGGATCGAATCCCACATCGGGCTCCCGGTGCATGGAGCCTGCTTCTCCCTCTGCCTGTGTCTCTGCTTCTCTCTCTCTCTCTGTGACTATAATAAATTAAAAAAAAAGAAAACTGGAAAAAAAAAAAAAAAAAAAAAGAAACCAGGGCTGTGGGATCCCTGGGTGGCGCAGTGGTTTAGCGCCTGCCTTTGGCCCAGGGCGTGGTCCTGGAGACCCGGGCTCGAATCCCACGTTGGGTTCCCGGTGCATGGAGCCTGCTTCTCCCTCTGCCTGTGTCTGTCTCTCTCTCTCTCTCTCTCTCTGTGTGTGTGTGTGACTATCATAAATAAATAAAAATTAAAAAAAAAAAAGAAAGAAACCAGGGCTATGATGACCTAATAACAGTAATTACGTAAATACCTTGGTAGCCAGAAAGGCAGCCGATTCTGATAATTAACCAGCAGCTGTTACTACAATTAAGTGCACTAGAAATGTACTAACTCTTCAACAAATTTTTAAGAATTCATCTATTCCCTACTCTCAAATGTTGAGACTTAAAAATGAAGCAAGTCCATCAGAGATTTTCGGCATCGCGCCAGACCTTCTGTCTTGTTAAGATGATCGTGCTCTAACTCCTATCTTCCCTTGCAACTGCAAAACCCATGTTCAGTTCAGCTTGTGCTGAAGAAAGGCAGGTGTGTGGGGAAAAAATGAACCATGCCCCCAGAAGCAGTTCTCAGAGCTGGCAGCAGCAGCAGCCAGAACCCGGGACGGCCAGAGCAAAGATTTGGGCCAAAGTTTCTTTAAAAATGCCACTTGCAGGGATGCCTGGGTGGCTCAGTGGTTGAGCGTCTGCCTTCAGCTGAGGTTGAGTCCCACATCGGGCTCCCTGCGCGGAGCCTGCTTCTCCCTCTGCCTGTGTCTCTGCCTCTCTTTCTCTCTGTGTCGCTCATGAATAAATAAAAAAATCTTAAAAAAAAATGCCACTTCCAATACAGTTTTTAAGATCACGTCCCAAGGGTACTTCTAGCCCCAGAGATAGTTTCTTAGCTTCCAAGATGATGATGAAACATGAAGGAAAATAATGGGCAGAAAGGTGCATGAGATGTGACAATGAAGGAGGGAGGTCCCTGGGCACAATAGAAAGAATTTGGGTTTTGGAATCAGAGTAGATTCAAATTCATGTTCTTCTAACTAGAAGCTCTGGGATGTTGGGCAAGTCACCTCACTTCTCTGAGCCTTCCACTGTCAGATGGGGCTGACGATCCCTTCTTGAGGGCCATGGGGAGAAACAGAGACTGTGTGTTACTAGCCAAAAGCACAGCCCATGGCACATGGTAGGCACTTACTGTGTGGTGGCTACTATAAGTCTGTTACAGATGTGGCAAATGGAAATTAATCATTCAGACAAAATTCTGGAGATAACCTATTTATCCATGGAGACTGGTGAAGTCCACTACATTAAAACTGTACAAGGACATACAATTTGTTACAGAATGAGGTCAAGATGTATAAAAATCTGTCCAAGATTTGCTAATAAGTTAGGGGCACCTGGGTTGTGCAGTCGGCTGAGTGTCCGACTCTTGGTTTCGTTCAGCTCAGGTTGTGATCTCAGGGTCATGGCATTGAGCCCATGTCAGGCTCTGCACTCAGCAGAGTCGGCTTGAGATTCTCTCTCCCTTTCCCCCTCCCACTTGTGCTTACCCCCTCTCTCGCTCCCCCCCATTTTAGAAAATAAGTAAATATATCTTTTTTTTTTTAAAGATTTTATTTATTTATTCATGAGAGACACACAGAGAGAGAGGCAGAGACACAGGCAGAGGGAGAAGCAGGCTCCATACAGGGAGCCCGACATGGACTCAATCTGGGGTCTCCAGGATCACGCCCTGGGCCGAAGGCGGCGCTAAACTGCTGAGCCACCCGGGCTGCCCAAGTAAATAAATCTCAAAAATAAGATTTGCTAAGTCAAAAATGTAGGGTAATGCACATTTCCACTCTCCACTTTGGAAGACAAAAGGAGTCTGTATAGAGACACATTCATATATTTGCAATCAGAAACGGAAAATCCTGGGAAGGATGCACCAGAAAGGGTGGATCGCCGCTACCTGAGACGGAATGAGAGGCTGACTGGGAGGGCGATTCTTTTTTGTTTGTAGTATTTCGCTCAGGTGTATCATATTTTAGAAACACCAAGATTCCTACAAGTACTTCGCGCGAAAATATGAAGCTTATCTCATGAAGCACAGGCAAGTGCTGGGAAGACACGGCCGGTAGAGTGCACCAGCAGCAGCTGTCACGAGACCACAGGTAAGCACCCCCCAGGTACCGGGAACCGTCACAACTCACCTCATTTCCATCACTTCCCGCCTGCTTTCTTCATACTTGTCCTTCCACTCTGAGACCTCTCTCTCCTTGGTTATGATCTAGCGCCAGGGAGAAGAGAAAGGTGAGTCCCGGAGGAGTGAATTCGGATCTGAACAATTCACAGACCCAAGAGAAGGGGACACTGAATAAACATAGAATTAAAACGTCCTACAACCAAACAGTAACTGTATTCGGAGGATTTCCGGGAGCACAAGACAGAAATAAACCAGAAATCAGACTTTCACAGTGCCCACAGGGAGCAACTAGAAGTCTCTGCTTTCTATAAATCAAGCAAGGCCACAGAGGCTGGTTCAACGATGGGGTCTCGGAAGATCAACCCCAGGCTGCTGCCTGTCTCTGCCCGCAGGGGTGGCAGGGGAAAGCCTAGGTTCGAAGATGTTAGCTTCATGATGATTAGACCGAGGTTAGATGTATATTTATATTTAAATATAAATGCATTAGATGTATATTTATATTTATCTACATGGAGCAGAAACCAGAGTTTTGCCCAAGGCAACCAGAGCCGGCCTCCCCGAGCCACACGCAGCCACAATACCTCTGCCCTGGCAATCCGGAGTGCAGAGTCCAGGTCGGGCTGCTGGAACAGAAGGCCTGCCGGCTTCTCCACTTCGGTGGTCCCGATGCGGGAGTACAGGGCTGTTTTGGAGATGGAGACATCTGTTGGGTGAGCAGCTTCTCTCTGTGGAATGGTTTTTAATTTAAAAAAAAAAAGAAGAAGAAGTTAGTATCACTCATATGAGAAACAGGATTTGCAATTATCCTCTCGTGAATGGGTCAGTTGTATGGTTTTGAGACAAAGGACACCAAAAGTATGAGAAAATGCTTGGACTGATGAGTGGGGAGAAGCCGGATATAATCTATGGAAATCGATCATTTTGCACCTGCACCAGCAGACAAAGGAGCTAATGGCAGAGGCCTCCCCAACTCCCCATTTTTGGAGTCAAGCGCGTCTGGTGCCGGCTTATCACTGACATTTATCAGACGCAGAGGCATTTAGGCGTAGTGCTTAAGAACCAAGGCCATTTTCCAGCAGGCTCCACTTCCAAAATTAAAGCCTGATGGTGAACGATGTTGAATTCTAATCTACATTTGCCTAGTTTTGAATAACTGCAGATCTGATCATTTTTGTAAGACTGTCTGCATTTCAATTGGGACGGGGGATGGTGCGTTTGTTCAGCTCGCACAAAGTTTGAGGCCTACCATAGCTATCAGCCAACGTCACCTTCAAAAGCTTAGTTTCCGGATGTCTCAAGGAAGAGCTACTTTGCAGCTATTTTGCCCTCAGTCCGCCGTGTCAACAGCAAAACTGAACTCTGGGTCAGTGACAGTAACCACATTTGCCACCAAGAGCCTCAACAAAGCCACCCCCACCCACAACCAACACTGGTCCGACTGTCCAGGATAGTCACTAGCCTCCTGGGAGGGGGGCAGGAGAGGACTGTGGTTCCTCTTCCTCCCTTTGCACAAAACGCTCAGCAACCTCCAACACACTTCAGAAGCCATGTTAGGAGCATCATCAACCGGCACAGCCGGAGCCGGCAGTCTAATTCTACTGCAAGAGACTCCAAACCAAGCACACTCTCAGTCCTATGCATTAACCTCCTGGCGCTGGCGTGGCTGCCAAGGCAAACCGCCGCCCTGGTTACCAGAGTCCAATTCGCTGTGGAGTAATGGTGGTGGCCTGCCAGCTTCCTGGGGCAATGGATGAGAAGCGAGCAGTGAACACAACACCCTGGCGGAGATCTGGAGGCCGAGCGGTGAGGACTGGTCTTGGAAGTGGAAGCAGGTAAGATTAAAGACCCAACAATGAGGGGGAAAGGGCGTACCTGCAGGTACTCTCTCTTCCATCACAAGAACAGGCGAGCTCACCCCACTACAGCACCAGAGAAAATGAACTCGAAACAACTTAGAAGACTCAGGCAGAAATTTAATGGATAGGACTGGAGATGACAGAGTTAGGACCAGTTAGTTGTACACATGCACAGTGAGTGACATGGTTCTGGGTGTCCTAAAAACGGGCTTGGGTTTCACGAGCCCTGACTGGCCTTTGGACTCCCTCTGCAGGGGGACCCCAATGAGCACACGGCCCCCTTTTCCACCAGACCCGGGAGACACACTCTCGGGTCAAATGGGATGCCCTGATCTTTCCATCCTCGGGTCCTAAAGAAGCCTCCAGGGCAGCCCTGGTGGCCCAGCGGTTTAGCGCCACCTTCAGTCCAGGGCGTGATTCTGGAGACCCAAGATTGAGTCCCACGTCGGGCACCTTGCATGGACCCTGCTTCTCCCTCTGTGTCTCTCATGAATAAAAAATAAATAAAATTAAAAAAAAAGAAGCCTCCATTACAGGACATCTTGACCACAAGCACAGAAGCAGGCAGGCTGACCTCAGAAGAAATCCTGCCTCCAGACCATAGGTGCAGAGCCTCTCCCGTGCGTGCATTCATCTCTGCTATTTGAACTGTTTTCTAGGCTCTGCTTGTCATATGGGAAACTTCTCAAGAAGTAAAGAGAAAATTCTACCCCGAGGTCTTGTTTTCGGCTTAGGTCAGGATCTCAGGATCTTGAGATCCAGCCAGCCTCCTGCTCTGGGCTCAGTGGGGAGTCTGCTCGGACTCTCTCTCTCCCTTTCTCTCTCTCTGTCCCTCCCTCTGCTCATGTGCACTGGCTTTCTCTCTCAGAAGAATAAATAAATCTTTTTTAAAAATGATATCCAGACAGTAAGACTCTATTTGTATTTATGGAGGAAATTCATAGGCACAAGATTCTGAAGAGGACTGCAAAAAAAAAAAAAAAAAAAGAAAAGAAAGAAAAAAAGAAAAGAAACACCAACCAACCTGTTCCCGTCACTTCTTAAGCACAATGTGTTCCTTGAAAAAAAAAATTTTTTTAGAATAAAATTTTAAAAATGGAAAGAACGCTAGGCACCATCTAACGCATCGTGGGTCCCTGGAAGATGGAAAAAATGTGAGGATTTAGGTGATCTGGCCAAAAGGTTTCCCAGAATGAGACTCAATTCTGACTCCAAACAAGCCAGCTCTCTGAAGTGCAAAGGGAAACGAAGTAAAACTAACTTTATCACGCTGGGCAGAAGCGAAATCCGACCAGTGCAGGGAGGTGTTGGTTTTAAAGCTGCCTAAATCCTTTGTCCGACAAGGAAGGGAACGAAAAAGAAATCTATTAATGAGCTTTCTGAGTCAACACAATGGTTAACCACCACACACGCTGACTCACCACCACCTTTCAGCCCGGCCACCTGGTGTTTTCAATAAAGGAACAGATGACCTCAGAATCCATTTGAATGACTGCCTGGGGTATCTGCATGCTAATGAAATTCAAGGTACACACCCCGGTTTTCTCTTACAACCAGGAATCCTTTCTCACTGAAATAGGTTGGTTTCTGACTGATATTTTAACATCAGGCTTAGATTAGGCTTTGTTTCTCTTGCACAAGGCCCCCCTGGCTGCTTTGGGGGAGCCCAAAAGCTGAGAGAATCACAAATTAAAATGTGAAAGTGGCCACAACTCAGAAAGAGCACGAGCCTTTGGAGCCAACTTCTAACCCCTCGATCCACTCACTCGGATCTGGGTCCCTGCGAGGACCCCCAGGGCACTGGCACCCACGGGCCTGCAGACCTCATGCCTGGGGCTCTCCTGGCTTTGCAGTCCTGCCGCTCACCCAGGCTCACAGACCTCCTCGTGGCCTCAGGGGAAGCCGACAACCTGGAACCATGGTGGGGGGTTCCTGTCCTTGGGGGCCGGCTGGCCAGCCGTGAGAACAGTGGGAGAGGCGTGCAGGGGATGTGGCCCTGGAGTCTAGATCAGGCCAGGAGACCACAGCAAGCTGGGCCAAGGTCATGGAGAACAGACCAGGTTGGGTGCACGGGAGGGTGTCTGGGCTAGGTGGGGCCAGCTGGGGCGGAAGAGGGGCCTCTCCTTGGGGTGCTGCAGCATCCAAATTTGACCGCAGGTAGTTCTTAAGCTCAGGATGACAAACGAGAACACACTGGATGTGCCCTTATCTACGCGCACAGGAGGAGCCACCAGCCACCCACTGGCCTCTCTTTCCCACTGAGTCAAGACAGGGCCTCAATCCTTCTCGACGCCAGCTGTGGGCGATGACTGCAAATTCCCCCAAGGGGCAAATAGAAGCTGAAACCCACATGCCAGCCTCCTGTCACTGCTCTTCACAAGGTTCTTGCAGCTTCCAGGTATTGTGTTGTTCAATGCCGGGGGTGGTGGACAGCTTGTGGACACAGCACCAGAAAAAGAGCCTACGCTGTCAGGCCACTCAGCGATGCAGGTGGTCCCAGACCTAACTCCTCCTCCTGCCCCCGTAAAATCCAGGTCTGCCTTTAGGGGCTGGGACTCCTAGAGGAATCAGACACTGAAGATCGGCACCCTCTCCCCCCTCCCCCCAAAGGGGCCTGTTTCTGGGACTTCCTCGGGTCCTGAAGCCTGCCGTTTGTACGCTCCTTGTTCCTACATTACACATCCTTCGTTCTTTACATCTGGGTCCCCTCATCCAGAAAGGCCAAGGGCTCTACGGATCGCAACCACTATCTGCTACACACACAAGTTAAATCCATCCCCCACGCACCCTGTACTCCTTGCAAAGCCACACAGATGGGAGCTTCACGTTCTCTCCATCCTGGTTACGTTCGGGGCTGCTGTACCGCACAGCCGGCCACCCTGGTCAGATGAACCCCAGGAGGACCACTGGATTCACTGGAGCCAGAAGAGTGTGTGGAAGAAAAACAATCAGGAGCTGCAGCACGACACCCCAGCCCCACGGAGTCTTCCTCGTCTCTAAGATTTTCTGATTAATGAGACAGGAAACCCCACCGCAGCCCGAGGAGGGTCAGCTCAGCTGGCTTTCGGTCTACAGGGAAATGGGGAGCTCCCGCAGGAGCAACCAGAAACCACCACCACCATATTTCATGCTGCTTCCAGCCCTTCAAGTGATTTCTTTTCATCCCAAGTGATTTCATTTTTGTGTTAGCTACAGTCTAAGACCGTGCTGCCAAAAAGACTGGGCTATGTCACCTGCAGCTGAAATTTATGGGCAAGAAAAAGAGCAAATTGGGTATACAGCTGCTGTTCCTCTTTCTCCACATCAGCAACTTCCAATGCGGCGAGGGGCAATCAAGCGTCTACGTGAACAAGAAACCCGCAGAAACCTAAAAAGTGGTACAAGTTACCATGGCAGAGAAAAATGTTCCTTACACTCCCCGACGGCTCTATCCTCACGAATGCTGCCTTTAGCACACTCCTCCGAAATAATATATAAGGAGGTAGCTGGGGCCATCCCTCCACCCACACAACAGTGGATTCACCTGACAGTATTTTCTAAATCAAAAGTGGGACACGGGGCCTGGGAACAGGTTGTCATGGCCAGACAGTCAATGGCCAGCCACTATCTGCTGACCTGTCACCTTGGATGAATCCCCTGGAGGAAGGAGGAGGCAGGGGCACCAGGCACTCCGGAACACTCACACTCCATCTGAACTCTTACTAGAACATGGTCAATCCTGCCTCAAACCTCTGGCCAGGAATATACCGTAGTTACGGTGGCCAGACCTGAAGCAATTCATTTTGTCCTTAAGCCACTACCCAAAAGATATCAAGAAATAAATCTAACGGGGGGAAAAAAATCCTCACTGCCTGGTGATTTTCTAAAAATCTTTCTCATGGAAACTACACCGAAGCTTATGTGGGTTGGCAGCGAGAACAGGAACGTCAGCAATGTGCATTAACGTTCCTGTCCCTGCTCTGGGTCCCAGCGTTCTCAGTCTGGACACCCACAGAGTGACCACCTTCTTTCATGGAGAGAGGTCTCTGGGAGCCAGCCCCCCACCTTGTGGACAGTTTCCAGGGAGGCCACAAGTGGGAGGCCCTGAGGGCAGGAGCAGCACATGGACTCCTGACCTGGTGCCAAGGGAGCTGCTCCCTGAGGTGGGACAGGCAAGGGCCTCCCATTTGGAGACCAGAGTCCTAGTTCCTGCTGGGTCAGTGAATCCCTATCAGGCCTCAGGCCGGTTCCACGGCTCCATTTTCCCATCTGTAAAATGGGACCCAGACCCCTCTACAGTAGAGACGCTGTGAGTAGCTGATCAGGTTAACAGAGAAAAAGTGAAAGTCACCAAGAGCAGGTGTCATTTACTGCACGCCTACTGTGTGCCAGGCACGGTGCTGTCCTCCACACAATCCATAACCCTTACAGCAAACTGCAAACTCACTGCTCATCGCCTCATCTCACAGCTGGAGAAACTGAGGCTCAAAGAGGTTCACCAACACGTTCAAGGCCACAGAGTGTGCTCGGCTGCCCAACTCTGGGCGCGGCGCGGTGGGATGGCAATGAAGCAGCTCCTCAGAGACCACAGCTCCCCGTGGGCCCTGAGGGGTGGCCTGAACCTTCTCGGAAGGCCAGAGCTTTGCACACCTTCAGCAACTCATTCAAATTGTTAAGAAAAAATACTCCAAACTCGGAAGCCAGGCCGAAAGCTTTCTGCATGTGCTGTCAGGATCTCACTCTACTCTAGAGCAGGGGTTAGCCAACTGTGGCGTGTGGGCCAAATGGCCCAATGTCCTAGTTTGTAAAAGGGTTTCAACTGGAACATCACCACACCTGCTCATCTACATGTTGTCTGTGGCTGCTTTTGAGCTACAGTGGCAGAGCTGAGAAGCTGTTACAGAGACCAGATGGCCCAGAAAGCCTAAAATATTTACCATCTGCCCTTTATGGAAAAGGGTTGCTTTTCTGTAATTCTATTGACTCCGGCCTAAAGGGCCACCCACTGTCTCAGGAAGGTCTCGGTTTCACTATTTACTATTGATTAGGGTCCAGTCTCAGTATGGTTAGGTCTTAACTCGTAGAAAATAGAAAAGTTGCAAATTATTTGTTCATTAGAGAAGCAAATGATTTTCGCAGAAAACAAAGGAAAAAAACCTCCAAGGTTATATTCGAGTGTCTTGTTTAGCCAGTATCATAAAACCAGTTTTATATCGAGCTTTGCAGTAAGGCTGCAATAGGATTCTGGCCTTTGTTTCACTGACTCTGCGTTGGGTTCTTCTATTTTTCTCCATTCCACCTGCTTTACCACCCTGCTGGTTCCTTCACTACCGAGTTAAATAGATCTTAAGACATGTGCTCAGTGTCTATTTATGCGAGAGTTATGCTTTTAGCTTTTTAGAAAATTTTAGACTACTTTGTAGAACACCGACATTGCCTGCTTGGCCAAGGGTTAGCAAGGAAAGGAACTTCTGGACCACACCACATTCTCAAGAGGCAGTGCATGGCAGCAGCAAATCCGTACCTTGGTGTCCTGGCGGCTACGGGAAGCCAGGGCAATCTGCCTGGCCAGCTTCAAGGCTTCTATCCGCATGATGGCAAACTCTAACTCCTCCTGCCGGAGGGGTGGGAGGGGGGATGAGCAAATCGCAGGGGAAATGCATCAAGACAGGATGTCAATGTTTCCCACATCCAAGAAATGAATGTGCCACGTGAATGTGTCATGACAGGTAACTCAGGAAAAACACACGCTCTGGCTTTCTTGCAAAATTAACACCTCAGCAGATCATGAAATAAGTGTTTAATTTCTTTTTATTTTTTAATTGCCCTTTGGAATGTCTGTGGGGAAGGATCATGGGATCATATGGGATGATTTTCAAAATGGGATCAAAATTTTTATGGCACTTTGATTTCTTTCCTTTTGTTTGATGTAAAGTTGGTCAATAATTTTCATGAATGGTTTCGCATTCTCAAATGACTGTTAACAATCTCTCCAGGTTTGCTCTGAAGGTCTTAATTAAGTTGTCAAGTTTAAGGCACAGAGTAGCTAATTGTTTTGGTAAGACCGAGTCCAGATGTTATCTCAATGGGAGTCTGAGATAGCCTCCCCGCCCGTGTGTCTATAAATAGCTTGGCTTCAAGGTGATCTAATACCCTTGGTTCTGTGAATAAATCACAGAAACTGCTTTTGGGGCTATCAAAACTTCTGAAAAATGATGGCTTGGGCCCAGTTTCCCAATTGAAATACAAATGGTTTGTCCTGTACGTAATCACACGATTTATATCATTTTGGCATCTTGGAGCAAGAACATCCACACATCAGTCTTTGAGGGGGAAGAGATTTCATCTGGAACATTTCCAGCAACGCCTCATTAAATCCTGCCTCATTGCATTTGGGGTTCGGAGTTCATTCTCTACTGAGGTTTTCACAAACTCCCAAAAGGTCACACGTGAGCTACAAACCTGGAGTTTCTGGGCAAATACTGGGGGGTTCTTTTCTGCTAAGTCGGGTTCCAGATAGTCAAGCGCACCACAGAGAGAGGCTGGATGAGCTAGCCTGCTGAGGAGGGCGTCAGCAGAGGCAAAGGAGCCCTCAGGAGCTGTCTGAAGGCCGGCACAGGAGGACACAGAGGAAAAATAGAGGAGACACAGTGACATTGATTCCAAGCCAGGACCACACCCCTATTTGCTGGACATTTCTGATTTAAGACTAAAGAGTATTAGAGGCCAATACTAATTCTCACCTGCTGCTGACCATGGGCATCTGGAGATTTACAGGCCCCACCCCCTCCCTGGAAGCACAGCCTCAGGTGCCCACCCACCCCAAGCCACCCTCACTCCCTCACCAGGCAGTGGGAGGAAAGTAACCATTTACTTATTTATTTGAAAATCTCAGTGGGTGGGACAAGGCAGTTCATGGGTTTCCTGAACATAGTATAACTATCAAAAAAAAAAAAAAAAATCTCCAAGTCTAAGCATCAAAGGTTTTGGTGAAGGTCGTTTTCTAAATAATAGAAAGACGAAATGTAAAATATAGTGTCTCTGGGTAGATCGAAAAGACTCCAAAATCAGAAGGCAACTCTGTAGAAGTTGAATCATGCACGAGTCCTTTCGTAGTGCCTGAGAGGCTGTTTGAACCACATCTGCTTTCCTCTTGGCTACTGATATTTTCCCAGTATTTAACTGCCACACAGCGGTGCTCAATAAATACTTGATGCAGGAGGTAACTGAATGGTCTACTAATACAGAACAATAAAAGTAACTAAGTCAAAGGCCTCAAACCCTCTCGGGGACTGCTAGGAAGGAGGTAGAAGAGATAATAATAAAATTCACCTAGAAGGATGGTCCCTTTTAGATGTTCAGGGGGTCTATTTGCTCTGCAAGGCTCCAGAGGGGTTGGGAGGGGAGGGATATAAATAGGTTTATAAACAGGAGGGATTTCCCATCACCAAGGGCCCAGAAAACCAAGTGTTCTCCAAAAGGAGTGTCCCCTGCCCTACCATTCCCTGGCCCCTGCCATAGAGTATGGAGGAGCAGGATGTAGACTGAGGACAGCTCCAAAGCAACAGTTCAGTCCCAAGGGAATAGGGTGAAAAATCGTAAAGCGGTGAGGTAAGAACCACAAAACCACGCTAGTGAAAATGAAGAGCTTTTCTCTCATGGCTACGGCGTGGGGTGTCCTAAGCTCCTAAGCTGGCTTCTGAGGTCCAGGGGTCAGGGTGGGGCCCCATGCCAGGGGCCAGGTGAGTGTTGTTCTGAAGGGTTGGACTCCTTGGTGATGGGACCCAGCTGGGTCAGGCCTCACCCCCAGTGATCTCGGGCCCCTCTGACCCCACTTACAATTTCAATCGTGTCTGAAGCAGTGCCCAGGGTCATGGCCTCCAGCTCCTTCTGGGAGGATTTCTCTGGCACCTGCAAGTGTGGCTCTTGGTTGGGAGCCAGCCCTCGTGTGACAGGATGCTGGATCTTTGCCCCAGCGTTTACAAGGGCTTCAGTTTCCTCAAAACTTGACCTGAGGAAACAAAGAGCATCTTTATTTTTCTCACTGGAAATCCCACTGAAAATGACCAGGATGCCCTGACTCAATCACCATCAGAAGGGATCCTGGACTTCCCAGGGCTATGTTCCCAAAGGGAAAATGGGGCAGGTGTTGGGTGGCCAGGGAGCCTGCAGGCTGGACAGCCCGAGGGAAAAAGGTGGTCCAGCCCCCCCTGCCCCCCACCCCCGACAGGGGAAGGTCAGAAGTCCCTTGGTTATGCCCCCGCGGGGAGGCGACTGTGTCCTGCATCTCAGTTTTTCTGTAGGACAGGAGGTGAGACAGTGCTCTGTGAAGGTCAAGGGAGACACTGCCTGCACGTAAAGCAGCTGACTCGGTACCTCACCATGACTATTGCTGTAATGACATCGCCATCATCGTACCCAATACCCCGGTGAATTCAGAAGTCCTTTTGGGAAGTCAAAGCAAGAGCTTCTTCACTCTTGCTCAGAGAAAGGGGCAGGGAAGTGGGGATGGGAGGGTCCCAGCCACAGAGAGGTGCCCCACCCTTACCCCATCCAGCACCACACAGCTCAGAACGGGACCCTGACCAGTGCTAACTCACAGCCTCCTTAACAGCAAACGTCTACCCGGCACTGCCCTTTCCTTAGAGCATCTCCATTTCACCCTCCTGACGGCTTTGGAGGACAGGCACCCCAGCCCCACTGCACAGTTGAGGGATGCCTGGAAGACTGAGAGCCTCATTCAATCCTCGTGAAATTTCTATAGGGTCGCTTTTGTTACTACCCTCATTTCACCCATGAGAAGACCATAGCACAAGAGGGTCCTGTAACCTGCCTCAGGTCATACAGCCAGTAAGAGGGGAGAGTGGGACTCGGGGTCCAAATGCTGTGGCATGCTGTCTCCCCATGGAACAAATCACAGCACAAAGCTGTATGTACACCGGGGGTGATCGGAGGGGCTCACGCATTCAGCTGTTAACAGGACTGAGGGCAGCTGGTAACCCCCCAACCCCACATGTATGTCTAGGGGAACATTCAGAAACCGAGATGTGGCTGCCTGAATACATCAATGCAAATGAAACCGAGCCACGACTACAGTGCCACAGGGCTCAGAGGCTTGGGGACGGCTGGCCCTGACCCGAAATGCTCTCCTCGTGGAAGTCATACCCTGAACACGGCGTCGGAGACTCTGACGTCCGGACCGGGGGAGACTTGACCGGGCTCTCCTGAGATGTGTCAAACATAAGGTACAGGGCCTGCTTCTTCGGGGCGTCATCGTCCTGCTGCAAGGATCAAAGGCACAAGTCAGCCCGGCTGCAGGTGGCTGCACATGCTACAGGGATAAACATCAGAGCTCTTTCCAGTGGACAAATCACTCATCGGGGGCAAAGCCTTCACCCTTCTAGAGCCACCAAGAAGGGAGGAGCAAGCTGGTGCTGGCCAGGGGAAAGGAGAGGAAAACAAGAGGGAAGAGGAAGGTGGAGAGAAGTGTGTGTGCGCTGCTGGAAACAGTGTCAAGGGGAGAGGGGCCAGGACTCCAAGAGAGGGGTCGGGGAGGCTGCACGCTGTTCCATCTGCCCACATTTATTGGCCACCCCCTCCGGATGGGCACCCACGCTGGGCTCTGAGCATAGAGGGGTAGGCGAGACCCCACAGTCGAATGAGGGGGACGAGCATGACGGCCCAATGTGGCAAGTGCCTCCATCATGGTCTGCTGACTGCGGGTTAGAAGCAGCACCAAGCATCTACAAACATGCAAAGAAAGATAAATACAGAAGCAACAGGTCTGGGCCAGTAGTGTCACACCAGGCTCCTCTGGCACCTCTGGGCCTCACATGGCATCCCCAGACAACAGCAGAGTACAAGAGGGCATGCTCAGAACCAAGTGCCCTGCAGGCAGCAGACGGGAAGCCAAGAGGACAGGTGCCCATCACAGCCACTTAAATGGAAAAGGATGGAGGAGGTGGGGGAGAGAGACTTCTTGCCAGAAGAGCCAATCCTCAGTTACATAAAGCAATTACTTTGAAGAAAACAGAAAAGAGGCCACTTTAAAAGCAATCGAATCACTGCTCTACCTTCTAAAGCAAACCTCTGGCAAGTTCTTTCTCAGTCTAGGGAAGTAATGATACGGGAAGCCTAACTGCACTCTATCATTTTCTCCCTGAAAATGCCATGTGAAGTGGGCGGAATACAAACCTCCAAGCCCCAGTCCCAGTTCACTCTTAACTGGGAAGCCCAGGATGCTGCGGGCACAAGAGGACCCTGGATTTGGGGCCTGAGCTCAGGAGGAGGCCAGCCCCTGCATTTTCACAAGACAGGGAGGGAAAGCAAGTCCCCTGTGGGCCTGAGGCAGAACTTACAGGTAAGGAGGAGCCAATTTTCTCCATATATTCAATTTCATAGGAATTTCTGTAATCCAACTCTGCAAAAAAACAAAAAACAAAAAAACAAAAGGAGAGTTAGTGTCGGGGTGGAGAAAAAAAAAAGGGGAGGGGGAAGGTTTGGGCCAGGCAGGGTGGGGTCCGGAACCAGATTCTAAACTCTGAGCCTGTCCAAGGACTCGAGGTTTCCCATTCAGCTGGTAGGAGAGGCTCAGCTCAGCAATTTTCAGACCACTCGTAAGCTTCTGGCTGCAAAGGGGCTTCTGCCGTTTGGGCACCCGAGACAGTCCAAGGGAGTGAAGTGTGAGCAGCACAGTCTGACCAGGAGCGGATCTGAGCATGATGCACCGAGCTTCCAGGACAGCCCTTCGTGAGTGTTGCTTCTCTGTCGGTCTCACGTGCAACATGAAGAATGTCCCCACACCCTGGTGACATTTTGCAACTGGCCCCAGCTTGGTCCCTCTCTGAGAACATAACCCGGGCCATCCTCCGAGGTAAGGGAGGAATGCACATTGCTCCCGCATTGCTGCTTGCTAAGAGCAGCTTTGCAAGTCACCTGGAACATTTCCCCAAGTCCTGCCAGGGCCTGCAGGGCTGGGGCCACATCAGATTTGCAGATGCAAAGACGACGGAAGTCCAATTAAGGGGGAAAATGACCTATTTCAAATGGCCTGGAGACCTTAGGCTGGAAGGGAACCTCGAGAGGCTTTCCCTGGAAACGAGAAGCCCTGGGCCCCTCGGGTCCCCAGGAGGTTACACGAGGACGCTCCCAGCACTGCCCCTCCACTGACCCCTGCCTGCCCCATCCAGTGAGTGGGTTCCGAGCTCGTTCGACGTGCCTCAAACTGTGCTGGGCACCGTGGATGAGGTACCCGGAAGCCACAGAAGCTACCAGATGGTTCTTTCCTACTTGAGAAGAACCAGGGGGTGATGTGACTTGCTCAGAAAGCAGCTGTCCAAGAGGGTGAGCGGCGATCCCTAATGCCTGAATTCTTTTTTTTAACAGAACGTATAGATAACAGTTCTGCTTTAAAGCACCTCTATTTCTGCAGATTGTCAAAGGCATCGCTTAAAAATGATTCCTCTATATGAGCTTTAAGGTGACATATTTCCTGGAAGCCCTTCCCCGAACCTGCGAGTGTGTGGGCTTGTGGCCGTATGAGCTCAAGGGCTGAAACACGGAGATGGCCCTTCAGGAGGCTCCAAATGTCCCCAGCGAAGCAAACGCCTCCTTCCAGTGGGCTTGGCCTGCTCAGGGGAACGAAGACGGTTTTATGGGTCAACGGCCAGCAAGACCTCATGCATCTGGCAGGCCTACGCCCCGATGTGAGCATCACTCGGGAGGAGCAGAGATTCGTGCAAACTGCACACAGCTGGGCCGGAGCTCAGCACCTGTGACTGGCGTGGGCACCCGTTCTTAGGACGTAGCATAGAAGTATTTGTTCAGGAAGACCTCCTGTCTTCCCCATCTTGTAAATGAGGGGTAAGCTAGGGACAGCGAGGGACAGGCTGATTTCTGGGGCCCTCTCCAGATCTCTCACTTTCTAGATGTAGGAGCTCAGGGCTATTATTGCATTGTCCTATTAAAGACTGTTTTAAGTTGGGAGGTAACAGTGAATCAGCTGCCTCCTTCTCCAACAGTGCCAAAGCATCATTTAACCCTAAATTATTTAACAGAAACCACCCCCTCCCCAGCACACCCCACAATGGCACAGGGCACCCAGGATGCACCTCACAGGCTAAGAGCCACCAGAGAGATTTTTTTCCAGGGACTATGGCCCTGGATCAGTGCCCAGCTCCGGTTACCAGCTCGGCTCAGTGAAGCGTCGCGCCTGGAATCTTAGCTCGTCCCCTGGCAGCTGATCACGGTGAGTTTCAGGTCACCGAGCTCACTTAGCTGCCTTCTTTCCCACCTGCCAATGGGGTCTCCTTCCCCCTGATCCCACCCAGGGTCCCTCACCCATCCTTTAGGAGGCAGCAGATGACAGTACAACAGTGGGGGGCTATCTGATCCACTCCCCCACCCCGAGAAATGTCTGTGTCCTAACGTGTGTGGTTACAGGAGGCTGGCTCTCTGCAGGACCTTTGGTCCCTGCTGATGTCTGGAGGTGTTCCTTCAGAACACGGCCTGAAACTTCCAATCCTAGCCATTTGGGGGTTCTCATTTTAATTTACAAAATGGCCCAGTTGGTGAAGCATCAGCCTTCGGCTCAGGTCAAGATCTCAGTGTCTTGGGATGGAGCCCCGAGTTGGGCTCCCTGCTCAGCGGGGCGTCTGCTTCTCACTCTCCCTCTGCCTGACCCCCTCCACTTGTGCTCTCTCTCGCTTGCTCTCGTCTCTCTCAAATAAATGAATAAAATCTTTAATAAATTGGCCTGGAAAAGATGTGAAGAAAAACAACCCCTCTTCTGGTCATCGATATCATCTTTAAGGGGACATCTTCCAGAACATTGTTTTCAAAAATCTCTTTCATCTGCTTTCAGTGGTAAGCCTCAAAGGGTCAGCTTGGAGGGGGAGCCACGTCCAGCTTGGGCCCCGGCCACAGGCAGCTGCCAGGCCAGGAAGGGTAACGCCAGTTGCACCAAGTGACACGACACCTTCATGTCCAAGAGAGGAGGCCGCTCCCTGTAGTGTCTGCCGCTTCAAGACGCAGAGGCCCCAGTTATTATAAACGGGTCCTGTCATCTCTGAGGACGCTTCTGGTAATTATTTCATGCTGGTCCATGCACTGTGGGAGGGCTTGGAGGCTGCTCTCCTTGATTCTGGCTGCCAGAGCTTGGCTGGGGACTGGAAAGACGCCGGAGGATGTGAGTCCAGATCGTCACTCCCGGTGTCGGGGAAGCCCACTCCCTGACCTACCCTGCCTACTGGCTTACCTGTAAAATGGAGCTCAAAGTGCCCATATTTCAAAAAAAAAAAAGGGGGGGGGGGAATGATGTCAGGTAAAGGCCCTACCATGGGCTATACAGATGCAAGGGACTGTGACCAGGTCTATTATAACTGTTCATTGCTAGGATTTCTGGAACTTTGAACATAAGTGATGAGAGAAGGGACCCCTTGGTTAGGGGACAAGGATGCTGCTCCCAACAACCTTACTGTCACTCTGCTGCATGTCTGCAGTGTGACAGCAATGGTGCCCACCACGGGAAAACATTCAGCTCCTGCGGGGGTCACCTTACCCTCTGTTGGATGTGGAAAGGTGGGGGCGGATGTCACTGTGTGTCAGGGAGACGGGGAGCTGGGTGACCCTCAAAGGGCATCCAGACTCATGAATCTAAAACCCTGTTCTCCTTGGGTCTCCTGGACCAGAGCTGGGAGAGGCCTCGGAGGAGGCTATGTTACCAAACAGCTCCTAATCTTTGCATCCCTAGGGACCACATGGACGAGGTCTTTCCCCACGACATTCCCCAAGGCTGCACCAGAAGTGCAGAAGAGGCCATTTACTAAGCAAGCGTTCAAAGAAAAACATCTGTAATTGCCAATCGGAGTTTTTAACCAGTGGGAGATTATCAGTGTTGCCACAGCGAGCTGATGTAATTACAGCCCAGACACGTCATTTTAATTAGCTGGGCATCTTTCTAATCTAGCTCCATCCAGGTTTCTTGAACTAATAAGCCAGCCTGAAGCTCTTGCAGACCTAGATGAGGAAGCACCGCTGAGTTTCTAAAGTCAATGAAAGGAAGCCTGCAGGGTGCTCACATACAAGAGTGTGGTAAGAGCAGGACCCATGGGGTCCAGCCTCTACATGGACTAGCCCCACAACGCTCAGCAAGTCCTAACAGCCCAAAGCCTGGGCTTCCTCGCGCCTAGGTGGGCAAGAGCAGAAATCCACTCTCTAGGACTGAGACGATGAAATGAAATCATGTAGACAAGAGCCTCAGTGGGGCTCAAAGTGAGCGCAGCACCAGTGACAGCTCCCGCCTCACTACTGTCACTTAAAGAGAATCGGCCTTGTAGCAAATACCTGTTTAGGTGGTAGTAATTATTTCTAAGCCAAAATCTCATTTTCCTGTGATTTGTGATTTCTGTGTAACAAAGCCTCAAGCACGCCTACAGCGCTGGCCAGATTCTTTCTGGTGATGACATCAGCACCCTAGGGGTGGGTCTGGTATGGCTGGGCATCCAGTTTCTACATCCAGCAGCTGCAGGGAAGCGGGCTGTATTAGAAAGGTGAATGCAGGGCCGACATGTCCTGGAACTGCAGCTGTCCTGTATTTGTACATGTGATAGATTTCCAAATGCCCACCAGCTGTAATTATGGTCGGGACTTCCTGAATCCTGAATCTTCACAATCCCTCCCTCCCTCCCTCTCTCTCTCCCTCCCTCCCTTCCTTCCTTTTCTTTTTTAAGATTTTACTTATTTATTCATAGAGAGGCAGAGGGAGGAGCAGGCACCCTATAAGGAGCCGATTGCGGAACTCAATCCCAGGACCCCAGGATCATGCCCTGAGCTGAAGGTAGATGCTCAACCGCAGACCCACTCAGGTGTCCCTCACGATCACTTTCTAAGGAGGAAGGTTTAATAGAGCTTTGTTTCAAATGTACAGATTTACCTATCTGTTGAATTTTTGGAGAAAACAAGCAATGATCAAATATGTCGCTGAGCTAGCAAATTGTTTGCTTCGGTTCCATGTTAAAGTTGAACAACTATGTTTCCATGGAATGAGATGCCTATTAGCTTAACAGGTACTATGAGGATCTTTATATTTTCTATTAAAAATGCATGTATTGGGGCACCTGGGTGGCTCAGTTGGTTAAGAGTCTGCCTTTAGTTCAGGTCATGATCCCTGGGTCCTGGGATCGAGCCCAGTGTCAGGCTTCCTACTCAGTGGGGAATCTGCTTCTCCCTCTCCCTCTGCCTGCCACTCCCCTTGCTTATGCTCTGTCAATGAAAATAAAATCTTTTAAAAAAAATGCATGTATCTGCATCATCATTACAGCATTAAGTGACCTCAGAGTAGCCCCAACCAAGTACAGAGGGCAGGCAGCACAGAGATGCCCAGTGAAGGGCTGGAGGGGCAGGGCAAGTATGGGAGACAGGGCACAGAGGGCACTGAAGTGGCAGCCAAGGGGGGTGGCACCCATGGGGCAAAGTGGTTCCATTCATTGAGGCTCGTGGCCCAGGTGTGCGTGCAGAGGAAAGGGCTGATAGAGGGGTGGAGGTCGGGTCCCAGGGCCCCTGGGGTCAGGCTGCAGTAAGGTCACTGTCAAGCCTCCCAAACCCCAGTCTGAGGGCCAACCAAACAGCTAACCAAAAGGCTCTGTTCCACAGAGCACATAACGCCAAAGTACACATAATTTAGATGGTCTTTTCATCTTCAAACTATAAAGAGGTACTGTGGTGAGAAGGTAAGCATCCAAAATCCCCCGCCAAAAATGACATGGACCTCACTCATATCGTTCAGGACCTCACTCATATCATTCAGAGACTTTATGGACACAAAGCAAGCCCCCGAGGAGCCGGGTCATGGAACAGTGTGCAGAGGAAGCAGTCCGAGCTACAATCCCAAACTACCTGCTCTTGGTGACACCACCACCTGCCCAGAGGGAGCAGGAGGCCGTTTAATGGAGGTGGTGGTTACTTAGCAGCAGCCAAGAAGTGCAAATGAGATTTTCATGTGTGATGGTCCTTATATTGATTTGTACTCATTTTTTCTGAATGGTTGGATTATCAGGATCTTGGAAAGGGAGACTGAGAACCACCACACTGGTCCCGAGTGCTGGAGGGAAGCTCACAGAGGGGCGGGTGCAGGGAAGAGCACCAGCAGACCGGGAGATGGTTTCAGGCCTCAACAGCTTTCCTAACGAGAAAGGGAAGTGTGGGAGCCAATAGATTCAGAAAAATCTATCCACTGTTAGTGGAATAAGCAGTTTACAAAAAAAAAAAAAAAAAAAAATTGATTCATCCAGTCATGCTGCATGGACTTAACATAGATGAATTTTTCAAGCCAAAGAATCGGGCAGAAAGCTGAAAGCAAAAATACATGTAGGAGGAAGAAAGACATTAATGAGAAAATCAACATGCCTGGAGTCTATTCAGGAAAACTGTCCTCTCGTTAGAAAGCCTGGAGTGAACCATCTGGTTTGGGAGCTTGAGGAGAAGGTATGACTATCCTGTGGAACATCCTGCGGGCTGATGGACAGTGGTGGCACCTAGGGACCCCAGGCCTGGGCAGGGGACTGACCCACACGGAGCATTTGGCTTGAATGGTGCTGCTTGCAGCTGCGTGTGTTTCACATCACCCAGGCATCTAAAGCCACAGAGAAGGAGCGAAGCTCAAGTGAGCTCAGGATGGGAACTGGGGGGGCGCTGAGCTCACTGGCTCTCAGCTGGTGTCTCAGAGGTGGGGTACAGCTGGGTTCAAGCCTGAGGCTGTTTTAAAATACAGCCTTAGCGGGACGCCTGGGTGGCCCAGCGGTTGAGCGTCTGCCTCCAGCTCAGGGTGTGATCCTGGAGACCTGGATCAAGCCCCGCATCAGGCTCCCTGCATGGAGCCTGCTTCTCCCTCTGCCTGTGTCTCTGCCTCATTCTCTCTGTGTCTCTCATGAATAAATAAATAAAATCTTAAAAAAAAAAATTACAGCCTTAGCTTGGAGTGCACGGATGGCAAGGCTACCTAGCTCAGAAGTTTCTTTCCCGGCCTTTTGCTCCCTAGGGGCAGTGGGCTCCAGGGTAGGACAGGGGTGTGACCGGCCACCAAACTGCTTACCCTCCGTGGGCGAGTTGAATTTGGTGTCATTTACGAAAGTGGACAGGTCCGAGGGCTGCGGGTAGTCCTGTTTGTCAGCCTCCAGATCCACCGTCACACACGTCCACTTCTGGTTGGTGACCGCCAGCTTCTCCTCATCGGTTGCGTGGACCACCGCGGAGATGACCGGCGTTTCTGGTGTGGCCGCTGGAGTGGGGTCCTGGGAGCAAAAGGGAAGCTGTCTCTCCTCTCACACAGTCTCTGCGTTCCCACCTGCGCCCACCCACCCAAGTCTGGGGCTCCTCTAACCAGGGCAGGTCCCTACCAAAATCCTCAGCATGTCCTTGGACTCTGCTCTAAATGGTCCCAAGGAGACAAATTCTTGGCTCTGTGATTTTCCTTTCCTGATGGCTCGTGATAGGGGGTGACCGTGGGTTTATAAAAATGAAAAGATCAGGATTTGGTGTCTGGGTTATTCGAGACATTCCTGATCATTCACTTTGAGAAATAAAATAAGGAAATTTATTTCTTGGCCCTTTGATTAGTACAACTACTGTGCTAAGTCGGCACAGTGCTTTAGGGCCTGTGCGCGCACCAATCTCACCAACATCGCCTGGCGATCCGCGTGCCTGTCCCTGGAGGATGGGCACAGGGAGGGAGCAGCTGAGCAGGGCGGAGGTGGTGCCCAGAAGTGTCAGAGCAGAGCTGGGACGGGACCCCAGACCCCTGTCCTGGGGCGGGGCGCCCTTCTGTGTAGCCCTGCCCGACTAGGGTCTGCTGGCTGGGGCTTCACTGGCTCAGATGGGAGCCTGGCACACCTGCCGCCCGGGGCTAACCTTCCGGTCGTGGCACAGATCTCATAAAAGAACCAGTGAGAGGGGGAAGGGCCCAAACCCCACTTCTTTAGGGCATGATTTCCTTTATCTCCCCACTCGAATTTTGGTTACATAATCCAGAGCTCTTGACACTCAGTTCTTTTTCACTATATATTCATTTATCTCAACGGACTTTCTCAAAAATCATATTCACAGAAGTTCTCAGCAGATTAACTGGCCAGAACGGATCAGCGGGATTCCTACAGAACCCACCTAACACTTTTGTTGAACATCTCTCTACTCTCAGGGACACACTCTGATCTCTCCCAAAGGGAAGGGATCACAACAATGTCTTGCAAACAGCAAGGGAGCCCCCCCCCCCCTGCAGGAGGCAAAAGAGGATGTTGGAAACGTGCCCGTGATGAGCAGAAAAGAAAGTTCTGTTGACTAGCGGGGAATCAAAACAACATGGGCTTTGGCGGCCTGGGTGAGTGATTAAAAATCATACATAGCAAGGGAACATTATACCTGAGAAGGCGGATCAGAGAGAGGAGACCGTTTTGGCGACCTTTTCACCCTAAATGTGTCACTGGAAACAAAATGGAAAATGTGAACACAACAAACAGTGGTACAGAACAGTCCAGAGCTACCCAGAGCAGACGGAAGCCACGGCCTCCGCTGAGCGTCTGGCCCAGATGGCGCTCAGGCCTCCACCACTCCACATGGGCGAGGAGACGTCCACAACTTAACAACAGATATGATCACTGCCCCAGAGGGAAAAGGGGTCCTCGAGCCGGAAATCTTTTAAAGAGATGCCACTTTGGAGAGCTGGCCCAGAAAATGAGGCTGGATTTAGCCAGATATTTTTATTTCAAAAAGCAGATTTGGGGGAGATTAACGTATCCAGATTCATCCAAGAATGTCTGGACCCAGAGGGGTGGGGGCAGGGATCTAGGTTCCGGACACCGATGAACAGGATCCCATCTCCTGGTTGGCACATAACGGACTGCTGTGCAGAAACATGAAGGAACATTCTGGGTCTTTGGGGAGAGTCCTTTCCTACTCACTGGAACTCTGCGCGTAAAGGATCCCTACACCCTGGAATTTCTGGGTGAGATTCCAACCACCCAGGGAAGCTGGGCTGGGGGTGAGATGATTCTTTTTGAAATTGTAATAGAAGGGAAGCCTGGGTGGCTCAGCGGTTTAGTGCTGCCTTCAGCCCAGGGCCTGATTCTGGAGACCCAGGATCGAGTCCCGTGTCAGGCTCCCTGCATGGAGCCTGCTTCTCTCTCTGCCTGTGTCTCTGCCTCTCTTTCTCTGTGTCTCTCATGAATAAATAAATAAAATCTTTTTAAAAAATAATAAATAAATTGTAATAGAAAACACAGGACATACAAACTACCATCTTAAACACTCTAACTTCGGTAAAGTACACTTGCAGGGTACAACAACCCGTCTCCAGACCTCTTTCAGGAATGAGATGATTACTGCCTATTCCTGACCAGGGTTAATGACCCTTTTCTCCCTTCCTTTCTCTTTCTTGAAAATAACCGGGGGTGCACGCAGGTCACTCAGGCAAAGGAAACATCAGCTCAGACTTGCAAAGGGGTCAGAAGGAAAGCACTGTTCGCGTACATGGCTCACTGAGTCAGAGTGGCCTCTGGTCTCAGGCCCCCCTGTGGTATGGTCCTGCCCCCAGCAAAGCAACAGCTTCTTGGGGTGGGGAAAGTCCCCGGACCTTAGATCCCAATACCTTTCCCTGCTCTAAATAGTAACTGGATGGACAGAGCGATTTGGCCCTCAGTTCCTTCCCTGTGCTCTCTTCAATAAAATGCTCCAACAATGGCACTCAGTCATGAAAAAATACTTAGAAATGGTTATTTATAGCATTTATAGCATTTGCCATACGAACAGTGCAGTCCCAGCCTGAAGCATATATTTATCCATGCATATAAATATATAACTGTATATTTTGGAGTTGCTAAATGGTTCTAAAAAACTAAAGAAATCCCTTGGGCAGATGCAAACCTGAGAGACTCAACTCTATCCCTGGACCGCGGGATGCCTGTGACCAGGCCAGCTTCCCTTGTAGGGACAGAGAGGCAGGAAGGTACCCGCCCTCGGGGCCCTGGGAGCTGCCCACAGCGTCCCTCCTGGCCGTTGGCAAAACAGCACGGACACAGAGGTGGTCTCTTGTTGCCACCAACGCCCAGCAGGGTGACTCCTGGGTGGCAAGCTGATCGATACCCAGCCTGGTCCTGGGTGACCAAGGACGCGGGCCCAGAGCAGGCTGGCGAGGGCTCTCACAGTCATGTGTTTCCCTCTGAGCCAACCCTGCATTTTAGGGGGTCTCAATTAGAAACAGCCCAATGACCTCTGCTTCACATGTTAGCATGAACAAGCGACCCCGGTCCACTGCCTGTGGTCGGCTGGCTGGTTATTTTGTTGTGAAGCCACAGTACTTTGAAAGCAATTGCTCACTAGTCCAATTTGAAATGAAAGAACGGAATGAGAGCTTTTATAAAAAAAAATATGGGTTTCAGATGAAGACATCCAATATGCAAGGGGGGGAAAAAAGTTCCATTCCTGACAAGCAGGCAGATGTTGGATAATCACATTTTCACAGTCAAGCAGTTTCATTTATGCTAATCGTTCTGAAACAGGAAAGTAACCTCTGCTACTGGGGAGCCCCATGCTCCCCCCGCCACCCCACCCCCCCGCCCATCCCCAGGCCTGACACAGAAATATGTGAGCAGCAGCCACAGAGAGGAAATTAAAAGAGCTTGAAAGCAAAAACGAAAAAGCAGAAAGCGGCACAGGTAGTATGAGCAGCAGATTCCATTAAATTTACTTACAACAGAGAACACACAGACATCACATCTTCAACCATCCTAAGACAAGAAGACAAGAAAAAAGAGAGACAGACAAAAGGAACTGACAAAAAAGATAAATCCGCAGACAACTGGTTATCAGCGGGCTGGGATACAAGAGCCATCCACTGTAGGTGCTGCTTGCAAGGCAGGGCGACATCCCAGCTTTTGGAGAGGGGCTGGCTGAGAGCAATCCCTCCCCGCTCGATTCCAATTACCCCAGAAGGCTCTGATGCCCAAAGAGCTTTGTCCCACTGGTGTAGGATTCCAAGCCATCTACACTAGAGGCGAGACTCAGGGATGGGCTGGCTTCCCTGACCTGCTGGTTAGCTCTGATGATGGGTCAGACTGTACGGGGGGAGGGGGGGGTACGGGTGGGTGGCTACAGGTTGGCTCTCATTCCAAAAATGGGAGACCGTGGCTGTGTCATTTGGGCATCTCAGGCTTCTGTTTGAGGCCTAAAATAAAGCTTCTGGGGCACTTATTCATGGTGAATGATGAATCTGGGCCTGTGGATTCATCACAGACATCTGGGTGGCTCAGTCGGGTAAGAGTCTGCCTTTGGCTCAGATCATGATCCTGGGGTCCTAGGATCAAGCTCCATAGGGCTCCCTGCTCAGCGGGGAGCCTGCTTCTCCCTCTCCTCCCCCTGGCATGCTCTCTTGCTATTTCTGTCTCTGTCTCTCTCAAATAAAGAGAATTTTTTTTTTTTAAATAAAGGACAGGGACATCTGGGTGGCTCAGCGGTTGAGCATCACCTTTGGCTCAGATCCTGATCCCGGGATCCAGGATCGAGTCCCACATTGGGCTCCTTGTAGGAAGCCTGCTTCTCCCTCTGCCCGTGTCTCGGCCTCTCTCTCTCTGTCTCTCATGAATAAATAAATAAAATCTTTAAAAAAAATAAAAAATAAAAATAAATAAAAATAAAGGACATATTAAAAAACAAACAAAAAAATAATAAAGCTTCCAACACAGCTTCAACAGAGCGTCTAGGAAGAGCCTCGTTGGGGAGCCAATCTCAGATGAGTCTTGAAATATTCAAGGCTAATGTCTGTTTAGAGAACCTCCTCTCAGGAAGTTCCAGGTGCTTCTCAAATGTAAACCCCTTGGGGAGCCCAGAATGGCATGTAAAAAGGTCACTCTGTCTCCATTTGTACCGGGCAGAGTCAGAGGCGCCAGCAGCTGTGGTCTGCTCTGCTGGGTCGGTGCCAGAAGCCTGGTCCCTATGGCCTTGATCAATTACTGACCACACTTCACATGAGGGCAAGAGAAAGGCTCCACACACCATCCCCACGATGCTGGGAACCATGTCCTGAGCAGGGATCCGCAGCCATCCAGGTGACAGCTGGGTCTGGGGATGAATTGCAAAGGCCCAGACTGGAGGTCCTGAAGGGCACTCTCACTGGAAGGGTCGGTGGATACTTGAACCGATTATTAATGGTCTCCCAGGGATTATGGGGACTGTGTTCTCCCACTCGAGTTCCACTGATCTCTTCTGAACCTACAGGGCCTTGGAGTCTTGTCTGCAAAAGATGGCTAGAGAAAGGGAGGAAGGCAAACGAGGTGCTTCTCACAGGTTGGCTGGGGTGCAAGGGGGGTATCCAGGCCAGACCTCTTGCTCATGGGCCTCACTCCTGGGCTGGTGTCCCATTAACGGGCAGACAGAAATACTCTAAATTCTAACAATATTTTAAGGGTAGATCTCCTAGCTTGTAGCCCACTCCAAAAAGCAATTCCCACGCAAAATAGGAAAAAGGTAAAAGTCACCAAAGGGGGGTTGACCAGGTCTCTACAGGACAGTTCCCTGTCTATGGGCTCTCCCACAGTCCCCTGGAGTCAAATGTCAGGTCTCCAGCTGAAAGTAATGCTTTAAACCACTGCCACAATAAGTGAAAGATCGAGGACTCTAGACCCAAAGGGACATGTGGCTGGGAGGTGCCACCACCGCGGGCGCAGAGAGGAAAGTAAACAGGTATCGTGTTGCAAACCTGGCAGCGTTACGGCAGGTGGGGGAAAGGTCAGGGCAGCCACGTCCATCCAGACACGAGACCCAGGGTCACAGCCAACGCGCAGCCCCGCCTCTAACCTGACCACCTGCACCCCTGAACTTACGTCTTTAGGGGCGTCTTCTTCTTCTTGGCGGGCTTGTTCAGCCCATCCCCATCCACTCCATTGGCTTCGATGGCACTGGCTGGGATCTCAAAGGAGGCTGGGGATTTAGAAGGTGAGCTGGGGGTTTTAGAGGACGTCTTAAAAGGGTCAATGGATTCATCACAGGCGTCTGGGTCAAAGTTGTAGGACTGTTGGGGCAGTTTGGGAGACTCTTGCATTTTTGAGGTGGAAGAAAAAGGGTTAAAATTGGGGTCATCCCACTTGTCAATATCAAAGGTGTAGGTACCTTTAGCCATAGGGATGTCATTGGGTTCATCGGGGGATCTGGTAGGCGAGGCAGGAGTGTTGTCGAGTTTCTCGGGTGTTTTTTTCATCTTTGGCCTCCTTAGGGGCATTTTGGCAACTGGCTTTTTGCCTAGCTTTTTGGTGGGAGGGGGGTTTTCCTGCTGGCTGTCCCAACTACCCTTGTCCTCAGAATAGTCAAACTCCAGCCTCACCGAGAGCCCTTTGACGGGGGAGTCCTCCTGCCCCCCACTCTCGGACGGGGTCACCTCCGCTGCCTCCGGAGCCGTGGCAAGAGGCGACGGTTTCCTTCCAACAGGGGGTGAGTTCTGCACCCTGCCACTTCCAGACACCGGGGGGATGGCCCCTTCGGCACCCTCTGAGTCCAGAGGGCAGGGAGCCTTGGGCACAGCAGCAAGATCCAGGGGTGCCTCCTCTGACACGGCCGGTCCAGAACCTTCCGTCTTGGCCAATTCCGGCTTTATCTCGAATGCTCTAGTCTCCTCGCTGGGGACGGGACACTCTTCCACGGGCTCCTGTTGTGTCTCTTTCACTGGGGGGGTTTCCGTGGGTTTCTTAGTGGTCTGCTTCTTTTTTAAGGAAGGTGGCCTTGGTTTTTTAGTTCGCTTAAGGGTACTGGAAGCACTGCTTGAGCCCGTGCTATACGCATCTGGGGCCGGGGCCACGGCCTCGGGGTTGCCTGAGCAAGAAGCACCATCAAAGTCACTAGCTTGCAGGCTGAGAGATCGGGAGAGCGTGGACTTGGAGACGGGCACAGAATCCGTGGACTTCCTCCGCGTGCTCACTTTGCATTCCTGACTCTTACTAGAGTCTGAGCAGCGGGGCTCCAAGGTCTGGAAATCATCCACCAGCTCAATGCTGTCAAAGTCTAAGTTGTAAGTCCCACTGCTGGCTATAGGCTTGTCTTCATCGAAGACGGCAGAGAAGGAGTGTGATGGGGGGCGGAAGGGGCTCCCTTCCACCGAGCTGCTGCGGGGGCCATCGGGGACAGACGCCGGCTCGGGACCGCAGCCTGATAAGAGGAGATGAAGCAGTCAGTGAGGGACATCAGACCCCGGGGCCTGTCTCACCTCATGCCAGACTACAGCCCTGCCCACCCCTCCCCTGCCAGGCCCCCGCAGGACAGGCACAGGGCTTGGGGACAAAGCCTGCTCTCCCCCACACAACTGGCTTCAGACCCTGGACAGGGCTTACCCTCCGGTTCCTCATCTGTAAAGTGGGAGTGAAAAGGGCTGTTTAGGGAAGAGCTCACATCATTCAGTCATTCAAAAAACCTTTACCAAATTCCCAGTCGCGACCAGGCACCATTCTGGGAGTTGGGGATTCAACAGAAGAACAAAACAGACAAAATTCTTGTCCTCCTGGAAGTTACATTTTTCAGGGAGAAGACAGTTAAGAAACAAATAAACAAGCAGAATGTACAGGCTGCCAGATGGTGATAAGTACTACGGAGATAAATCAAGCCAGGGTAGGGGCGTTGCAATTTTAAAATAAAGTAGTTGGCAAAGCCCTCCAAGGAGGAAATACTTAAGCAAAGATCAGAAACAAGGTAAAGGAGGATAAAACAAGGAGCCAGGAGGATATCTGGGGGGCTCGAGGGGTCGGGGCATCACAGGTAAAAGGAACAGCAAGTGCAAAGGCCCTGGGGCAGAAGCACGCCTGGTGTGTTAAATATCAGGGGCCAGTGTGACTAACGCAAGGGAGAGGAAGACAGACATTACCATCATCAAGCCTGTTGTTGATTACTCCGAGCTTGTTGTGAGGAACAACAGGGAGCCCCACTGTGGGGGCTCCCAGGGCACTGTGGTAGGACTGAGCATGTCCTGCCTGCTACTTTGTTCCTGTCCCTATGCCACGCGTCCCCTGTAATCTCTCCCTCCTGCTCTGCCTGCCACGCTCCTCTTCTTGACCTTTCTTCTGATCCATTCCCTCTCTCTTTGCTGCTCTTCTTCCCAGCTTCCTCACCCCCACAGCCCCTGCCAGCCACAGAGGCTGCTCCTTATTTCGAAGCACACCGTGCATGCTCCACTTGTTGGCCACGAGATGCTCCATCACCTCTGGACCCCGCCGCTCCAGGGGATCTGCCCAGCCTGGCCTTGGCTTGGCTACCCTGGGCTCTGCCCACACCAGGTGGTGCCTTTCATGCATTTCCAGCTCACAGCTGTCCGGGCAGTCGGGACGCCAGAAAATGATTGGCTGGACATCCAGCAATATGTCACTGAACAAAGGAGGGCAAATGTTGCAAAGAGGTCCAGAGAAGAAGGGACTGGAGAGTTGGCACAGGTGCGGCCCGGGACGGAGTCATGACCCCAAACATCCACCCCATGCCCGGCTGGGAAGCTGCCAGATAAAAGAGAGGATGTTCAGATAAATTTGAATTTCAGATCATTGAAAAAGGGCTTTAGTATAAACACGTCTTGGTAATTCCTTGTTTATCTGGGATTCAGATTTAACTGGGCACCTTATATCGTTTATATACTGAATCTGGCAGCCTCGTCCCAACAAATGAACAGGGTTTGGAAAACGCTCTGCTAAACCTGAACTGGCCTCTTGCTGTACATTTTCTCAGAGCAATTCACGCTCACTATTGCAAACGCCCAAGTGGTATTTGCGCGGTGCTTCCCAACTTTGCTCACGAGCAGATACTTCTCTTGGAGCACCTGGCGGAGAAATCCCAGCGGAGGAAGTGCCACCCGGGAGAAGACGACACAAATGAAGTCCAAGCCTCCTGAGTTCAGGAACTGGTCTGATTCACCTTAGCTCTCCCTTGGACTCGTCACACTTTCTCTTGCAATAAGCACCTCTAGAACTGAAGGCACCTTCTGGAAGCACATCTATTCGTGGTTCTAAACCGTCCCGTCTCTCCTGCACCCTACGCTACCCAGGCCCTACTTGGCAAAGCTGGTGTCTTGCAAGACAGACCCTTTTAAAGCCTCACGGCTCCTTCTACCAAATGACTCCTCTCTCACCTGAAAAACATTCCTGCCTCCTCCCTGCCTCAAAAGAAGAAGTCTCCTCCCTGCTTCCTTCTATAAAACCAGCTCCCTCTCTACTTCTTCCAGGGCCTGGCACTGTCAACCCACCCCATCACAGCACAGGGGGGCCAGAAGGACCCAAGGACCAAGGGAAACAGCTGCCTTCACATGAGCCTCACGGGAAGGGAAGGAGCCTCACCCATCCCATCGTTTCCAAAGCAAGGCTCACGATCGCCAGGTCTCTCCCGGGCCTTCCGAGGCCCTTCAGATGTCACTAGTTCCCTCAAATCATGCAACATGCAACCATCTGCTCACTTTTTGACCCAGAAGAAAAGCTCCCTGTCTGCTAAACACCCTTTCCTCTACAGAACTGACATTCCCTAATTAAATCATCAAGGACTAGGAAACCTGATCTTGCTGAAGAGTTTTTAGGCCTTGGCACTGAGCTCTGTCGGGATGGTGGGTTCTCTGGGCCGGAGGCCTATGCTTTTCATGACAGGGTGTAAAGCAGCATTGCTGGCTTCCACCCACCAGATGCCATTGGCACCTCAACCCCAGCTGTGACAACTGAAAATGTTTTAGGGGCGCCTGGGTGGCTCAGTCAGTTAAGTATCTGCCTTTGGCTCAGGTCATGATCCTGGGGGTCCTGGGATTGAGCCCCACATTGGGCTCCCTGCTCAGCGGGAAGTCTGCTTCTTCTCTTCCCCCTCCCCAGCACTCATGCATGCTCTCTCAAATAAAAAAATAAAATCTCAAAAAAAAAAATGCTTCTAAAAATTGCCAAATGTCCCCTGAGGGGCGACATCATCCCTGGCTGAGGACCGCTGTCTTACTGTGTTGTAGATGTGCTCACTTCGGCAGCACGTATACTTACTGTGTGTTAGTTAAGAAGGTTATTCTACAGGGCCCATTACAGGGCTGGGAGGGCCCTTCAAAGCACTCTTCAGAGGAACCCTGGATACAGACCCGAGAAAAGGTCACTGCCACATGGGGGCCCTGGATTTCCAAAGCAAGTGTGGTCCGACTGGGTTCGCAGCCCCACCCACTGGGGTTCTAAATTCCACACACCATATCTGCATGAAGACAATCTGTTCATTCATTCACTCCATGAATAAGCTGGGTGCCTCCCGTGTATCAGCCACTGTGGGGGTGCAGTGGACATAGAGGTGAGGAAAGACGAGACCCCAGATGGATCCATCTACCCCATCAGTGCAGACCTGGGCAATGCTTGTCCTGGCTCCAGGTTTGGGCTCAGTCTGATGACACAATGAGCATCCCTGGTTCAGCCAATGCAGGTTTGCTTGGCAGAAAGGGGGGATTTCCAGGGACATTCGTCAGCAGAGGACACCATGACCAAGTGCCACAGATGGGGTGGGGGAAAGAGCAGACATTTATTGTCTCATAGTCTGGATGCTGAAGTCCAAGGTCAAGGTGTCAACAGATTTGCTTTCTCCTGAGGCCTTTCGTTGGCTTGCAGATGGCCGTCTCCTCTGTGTCCCCACATGGCCTTTCCTCTGTGTGGGCTCATTCCTGGGGCCCTTTCCTCTTCTTACAGGGACACCAGTTCTAATGGATCAGGGCCCCACCCTTCCAACCTCATTTACCCTTAAACATCTCTGTAAAGGTCCTACCTTCAATACAATCACACTGGGGCTTAGGGCTTCAACAACTGAACTTGGGAGAACACAATGTCCTCTGCAACACCAGTGGAGGGCAGTAAAACCCCCAAACTAAGGTTAAAAACAAATGTGTTTGGAAAGGAGGGAATTCCAAGCAAAGACAGAAAGGCACTGAGGGGTGTCTCCACCCTGCGGACATCACCTTACCATCTCCCAAGGCCACATTCCCTAGCCCTGTGGGGCTGCTTCTCCCTGGAGTACTTAATGCCAGCTTTGCTGGTGCTTCTCTCTCTCCCACTCACCACTACCCACCCCCCAACTTTGGGCAGAGACCCATGGGCCCAGAGGACCAAACGTGTCAACACGTGGCACCCCAGTGCTCCCAGACTCTCACCTTCAACCAGCAGATCAATGTGAATGGCTCTCATAGACAGGGGACATAACTTCACATCTTCTAAATACACGAGTAATAATCTATTACGATTAATGTTTATTCTGGAAAAGGTCTCCATTTTAAGTAGGCTAATGAGATCCAAATGGAGCATTATTGGTCTTTAGGTGGCATTTTACTGGTAGCTGCGGGCTCGGAGCAAATCCATGATGAATGCAGCACTTCCCAAACTTGCCTATCCTGAGACACATCCCCAGGGAGTATGGCACATCTGGGGTGAGGGCTCCGAACCCCCATTTCTCACGGGTGCTACAGGCCGCCCATGAGCAGGGAAGTCTGGGGGCTGGGCTGGCTCACCGCACCTGCTCCCTATCAGGACCTGAAAACCTCCAGGGGCAACAGTTTAATATCTGGCCACAGAAATGGTTTGGAGGAGGAGCCTGGATTGGCTTGGATTGACCTTTGAGGTGAGCTCTGATTGCCTGCAGGGATTTTGCCTGGAGATAGGGGGCATCAGGAGGGTGGGAGTGGCAGCAGGGGCGGTCCCTGTGTGCCCACCCTCCCATATTGTCACCAAGCCCAGAATGGGCCAACAAGAGAGGCAGGAGGCCCATGAGAAGCCAGCTGCTCCTCCAGACCAGGAGGGCCTTCAGATTCTCACAGACACCCTGCTGGGTCCTGAGGACCACTCGGCCCAACCCACTGGGTCTGTGCCCACTGCCTTCTGGACGCCTGCCCTGATCTGGCACGTCTATCTTCTCAAACCTTCCTTCAAATGCCAAAATCTGAAGATGGAGCAGCGCGGCCCGAGGCATTGTGGGGAGTGACAAGTATTAACCAGGGTGTCTTTGCTTAGAGATGGAAGTTCTCTATGCAAACCAGCTCATTCCTACCAGAGCCCACCGTGTGAGCAGCCAAATGAAGCCGCCCCAGTTAGGATGGGAGAACATAAAAGGGACCTTGCCAGGTGGAGCAAAGAGTGACATCTCCCCAGGGGCACCAGGAGCACCGTGGGGGCTGGAGCGTGCAGTCCTGCTGCAGGGCAGCGTGCAAAGCCTTGGGCTGGGTGCCGGCTCCGCCTGGGGCACACCGAATGTCCCTTCTCCCCTGCCCCGCGGACTGCTGCCTCCTTCTGCATCCTCCGGGCCAGAGCTCGACGGCTTCCTCCCCCGACCCCACGTCCTGCCCCGGCTCTCCGCACGCAGGGCTGCCCGCCGGGCGGGCCACTGTCCACCCCTGGCCAGGCCCCAGGGAAGCACCGGGCTGTCTTCCCGTTGACAAACTCCGTGCTTCTCACTCCCGGGAGGCGGGGAGAGGCACCGGCAGGGGTGACTCTGACAGTGGCCACTCTGCTCTTTCAGCCTGTCTTCCCAGACTTCCCCCCACCTCCCCTCCACATCACAGGGGGCACAAAACCAGCAGTCCTGGAAGCGCGCTTTCTCTACGAGCTAAAGAAGATAGCATCGCGACAGATCACTGGGACACCACACGCCCCAGTGCTGACTCCAGCCGAGTCAGTGCTCACGGGCCCCAGGTGACACAGACCCTGGCTCTGCCGCTTCTCAGCTGGGTGACCCTGGCCAAAGCTCCGTAACCTCACTGTGCCTCACTGTCACCGTCCCCAAAACCACCTCGCAGGGGTGGCATAAATCAGAGGTCATCCTAACAGTACCTGCTGCAAGGAAAACATGCACAAATGTGACCTGTTGTTCTAGCTGTAGCAAGACAACACTTCCAGGGCCCAGCTCATCCTCTGTCCCGGGAGGAAAGGAGCTACCCATCTGGGTATGTGGGGCCCATGAGCATCGTGAAATCCTTGTGCACCTCACGGGGCCATCAGGGGCCACTGAGCCAGGCTCAGAGAGCAATCAGTTCCCCCAGGAAGGTCATTAAGAGAAATCAGCACTCGCTCGGAGGCTCGGAGCCCCTCCAGATTCTTGGTGTGCTCACCCTCCTCCTGCAGGTGACCCCTCTGAGCCTCAGCTGAAAACCAGGCATTCTCATGAGAACAAAAAGTGAGAACCACTTAAGCTCCCAACACAGGGCACAGCTGTACCAGGACACGGCAACCCTTGTGCATGTGACAGTGACACCCACTCCCTGTACCCCTGCCCCAGGGAAGGATGGGAAGGCCCTCACCTGGCTGGGCTCCTGGATGCCTTCCTATCTCTCTGTAGGGGCACCCCTGCCCTGCGGACTCAGGGGAGAGGAAGGCAAGTGACAATGTGTATGGAGACATGGTCCCCTAGGGGGACAGAAGCCACTGGGTGTGCTGAGCTCCTTTCTGAGTCCCTCTAAAGACACTGGCCACGAACAACCATGTGGAACACAATCAGTGCCTCAGCAAAGGCCACCCTTCCCCTGGGGCAGAGAGGAAAGGTCTAGAGCACGCAGGGCAGTGTCTCCAGTCACCTCCAAGGCCCCAACACGGGCCTTCCTGGGCAGTCTCCCAGCGAGGGGAAGAAAATAGGCTTCGCAGCAGGGGAAGCAATGTCCCCGGAGGGAGGGCAACCATCGAAGGAGCCCACCGCTGGTATCACAAAACCAGGCTCAGCTCACTGACCATCCTCTTGCTGCGCACCTCACAACTGCTTGTCCATCCTCTGCCTCGGGGTACTTTAATGCACCAGCTCGCTTCACCTGCAGAGAGCAGCCTGGTTTCCCAATGGAAAGGAGTCAAGAGTTCTGGGTTCTGATCCCAGCACCCCTCATGTGCTGTGAGATGGAGGGCAAGGTCTGGAATCTCCACATCCCACTGGGGGAGCAGGTGATGTTACACAGGGATGCTGTGAGCACAGGGGGATGATTCTGGGCTGAGCTGGTATGAAACCCAGCACAGGCCTGGCACACAGTGGACACTTAAATGGGAGCTATTCCTTATTTCTACGTATGCCCCCACACTGGCCACCATACGGCAGCCACACACTGTGATCTCAGAACCAGGGAAGGCCAGAAAGGGAAGGAGGACCCCGGGGGGCTGGCAGGCTGCCCTCTTCATTTTACGGGTAAGAGAAAACCGGGCTCAGACAAGCTGCATCCTGGCCCGGTCCAGCCTAGATGAAGGGCATCCCCCCATCCTCCTGTCCCCAGGGCCACATACATGCTGGCAGGACCCAAGGTGAGGCCACTGCCTGATTGCTTCCAACCATGGGTTTCTAGGAGAGCAAATCAGGTCCTTATTCACAGCCAAGGGTCTAATCTATCATTTCATGTGGCTCTTCTGGCACCTTTAGCAATATCCCAGGCACTTTGCAGAGGAAAACCAAACAATAGGTATCTCCCTCGGTGCCCTTTCTTTCCTGCGGTTCTCCGAAGGAACTTTCTCCCCCTCTAGCCACCTCTGAAAGCAGGCACACCCGCCTACTCACGCCTCTGCTGTGCCCCACGCTGTCTGCACAATGGACGAGCAGACTTTTCTAACAAGTGCAGCAAATCAAACAGATCTTTGTACAGCCCAATCCAGGGGGGCTCTAAGCAGTCACGATCCCAACCGTAAGAGTCCTCATTATGTAAGCGGTTTATATTTAGCTTCATTGGAGTTTTCCAAGAAAGAGAAGCAGAAAATCCCTGTTCAAAGACTCCAACTGATGTCGTGAAAAGTTCTGTGGGGCCGTGGCTCGTGGCAATTACCAGCTCCAACCCTTCCGGGTGGCGGTTGTCTCTCAATCCCCTGTGATGCTCATTCTTTCCAAAGCTGCCATCCTAAGAAAGAGGCCGGTGCTGTGCGTGTTTGTTTTTAAGAATGGAGATTGTTCTTTGCTTTGTTGAAAAGCAAGTCAGGCAGAAGGAACGACAGGCCACAGGAAAGAACAGAAGCACCAAATCATCCCCAGATGCTCCCAGGATGAGTGGTTGGAAATTCTAGAAGGCGCGCATCAGCTCACATCCTTCCCTGTGCATGCACTTCCGTGGAGCAGGCGGATGGACCCTACACTGTAACACACCATCATCTTCTTCTCAATTCTTTCCTAAAATATCCCACCCATGTGTGGGCATGAACTTGTACCCACAAGAAAGGATAGTTTACTTCCAATCACATGTTTGATCTAGGGCTTACAATCTAAGGGTGATTTTTTTTTTTGCAGTATTATAGGAAATGAATTTTTAGATGTTTCATAATATGGAAGAAAAAATGGGAACGCTAAAAAACTCTCAGCAGTCCTTCTGGCTCCTTCTCTACTTTAAAACCAAATAAATTGCAACGATTCCCCTCTCAGGGCCCAGCCCCCAGGCTAGCCATGCAGAATCAGATCCTACTAGCTGATGAGCTGTCAGAGACGGGAGAGTATGAAAATCGTATTTGTCAGACACCAGCGAAGACATCTACCCTCCCCAAAACTGGTCCTAACCCTTTTCCCCAGGACTGGGGAGCAAATCTGCTTAGGAATCGGCCCCAGAGTGTCTACCCTTTCTAAAATAACGGCCTGTTTGAACCCAGGACAGGTGGAAAGAATTCTACCCATTTTTTTGTAAAACCAATATCAAGGTCAAAATGTCATTTGACTTTACAGTTCCCCTGGCTTCTGGCCAGGGTAAGAGGATGAATGGAGGCCCAGCCATCAGCTTGCTCCTTCTCCTCCCTTACCTGGGGTGGCCTTGAGCACAGGTGTGTGGACACCCCACCTGTAGGTCTCAGCCCCATCCTTGGTTCCTCCAAGATACAAACATGGGTATAGTCAACCTGGGAAGATGGGCCATGGGAAGGGGACCAGATGTGCTCAGGAAGTGGCTGCCCCTAGGAATCCAGAGTGTGGTCTAGGAGATTGGCCCTGCAGCCTCACCACGTAGAGAGGACTGTGGCTGGAGGAAAGTCAGAGTGGGGCCCTCTAAAACACACAACCCAATGCAGGAAGGTAGTGCAGGTCTAAGGACAGTACTACCCAGCCCCCTAATCAGCTGCTGGGCCATTTCTGGGACCACCTGGCCCCTGACCAGCCTGTAGAATCACTTCTGGGACCACCTGACCCCTGACCAGCCTGCAGGACCATTTCTGGCAGTCCCTATCTCCTTCCAGCTCTCATATTAAACTTCCATGCTGGAGGTAGTCCCACTCCTGCTGGTGTAACTGGAGGATGCACACACAAAACACAAGCCAGGTGAGTAGGCTGAGACTGGGGACCGAGATCTATCCCATCCCCTCCTACCTCGAGCAATCATACTTGAAAGGTAGGGAAAGGTCTGTGTTTTAAGTCACACTAGGGAGACAGGATGCTGGAAAGTGATATGAAATCAGGGGACTTGTGGTTAATGAGGGATAAATGAACGATCCTGCATGGGTTTGGGTATCTCTGGCTTTCTCTCCTTTCCCATTTACTACCTACCTCCATTCCCCAGCCCCTGGAGGCTATGGTCTTTACGCAAATGCAGATTCATGTGGGCTGTCTAGAACTAGTGTTCTTATGGGAATCAAGGGCCAAATATTAGAACCCAAGATAGGATTCCACACAGAAACCTCCCAGACCCACTTGTCCCCTCAAACCCAATTCTGGATGCCAAGTGAAAGGTTCCAGGACTAAATGAGTGGTTTCCCCACAGGCCAGCCCTAAACATCATCAAAGCAAACAGAATAATCCACTGTATCTGTTCACTCAGATACAGTGAGCAGAGCCTGGAGCAGAAAGATGCCAGTGGCTGGGGAGTGTCTAAGGAGCTCCAGTGGGTAGCCCCCATCCAGCTGCCCCAGCCCAGGGCTGCTCCCAAGCTTCCCCGGGGGGAGCACCTGACCTTGGTTACCTGGTTCTTCCAGGGGAGGCTGTGCGCTGATCTCAGGCTCTAGAGTGACTTCGGGGGGCGGCGGGGGTGGGGCTGGTGGAGCTTTGACAGGAGTCGTGGACTCGGGAGTCTCAAATGCTTCTTCAGAGTCAGAACTCCTGATGGAGAGAGAAGAAGAAAAGCACAGGATTAGGCAGGGGCCAGGGCTGAGTCTGCTCCGAGGGGCCGGGGGCCAGCGCTGCTGAGGCTGTGTGACCCTCTGACCCCTACCCGGGACAGCGAGATCCAGGCTTGTTGCCCAATTTAACTGTTCAAGGAAAAGATGTGAGGAAAGTCATTTCCCAGCATGATTCCCAAGAGGGAATCTCATTATCACCAGCTTTGTTCCCAAATGATGTATGCTTTGAACTTAGCCCCGTGAGAAATACATATTTCTGGCCTCAGTGACAAATACAAACACAAGGGAACCTTTGATCAACTCTGGCACCAATTCAGTCAAACTGATATTCCCAGAACACATTACGATGCCATGGTTCCAACACATCATAGGGTCCATACTCCATGAAACCAAATTTCATATGGTCTCTCCCCCCATCATTCTCTCCCCTGCCCTTCCTTCCCAGAGCTTCTCATAACTTATTCTAGATTTATTCACTTCCTCATTGTGTTATCTTTCTCATCTACTGAGCTCCAAGGCCATGAGGGCAGCAAGCCTTATTGATCACAGCATCTCTGAGCCTAAGCCAGGAGGCAATGAATAAATATCTGTTGAATGAATGAATGAACGAACGAACAAAAGTAAGCTGACAAGCCAGCTCGCTGGAGGATGTACCAGACCAAGACATAAAACCCAGCCTGCTGACCTCACTGATAACGATAACAACCATTGCCGCTCTGCTGGAAGGTCTGCTCTCAAGGAAGATTCTTCATCCAGGGAACTGGACCAAACTTCCACCCCAAGGACATCCCACTCAGAAATAAGAGGGAGGCTGCTCAATAAACTAAAGCCTTGTCCTGGACTCTAGAAAACCCAGAGCAGACAGCCCTTCTCCATCATCCTGCTTCTCCCAGGGGCTCAATTTTGAGCCAAAAAGAATGAGACCCTCTGGAGCCAAGCATGTGTCCTCAGGCTGCAGGGGCTGCTCCTCCCTTGCCCAAGATGCCCTGAACCAACCTCACTCTGAGGATGCCAGAGTGTGAGCCACAGCAGCAGCATCCCCTGGGCTGATTCCCACCTCGAGAGATATCGTAGAGAGACTAAAATGCCATTTATTCATTTGCAACAGGGAAGGTAATCATCAAGAGGGTAGATACTCAGGACTGCTGCTGGCAAAAGTGACCCAGCAGACAAATCTGGGTGAAGACACACAATCAGAGGGTGACGAACCAGGTGAGTCTAGAGCATGAAATGCTCACGTTGCTGAGCTCATGCTGCTGAGGGTCAATGGACTAGTGACCTCCACGCAGGACAGCATCTTCTAAAGACTATCTGCCAGCAGGCGGAGAGAACCAGGAACCAAGCCAATCTCCTCCACCGTCAGCCAGCACAGGAAAAAGGAGCCATCCGGCGAGTTTTCCTTCAGAAAAAAATCTACACATTGACGTTTTTTACAACTTGTCAGTGACTCATTTTATCAGCGCCAAAGACCCCACCCCCAAGAACCCTGGCTCCTCCAACCAGCCACAAGGCCCTCCAGGGACCCAAAGAGACAGAACAGAAACCTCAGAGCTGCTTTTGACGAGATCCAATGAGCTGAAGCTTGCACGCTATCAAATTTCACGCGTAAAGACTGAACCCACACAAACAGGATGGGGGCCAGCTGACTTTTTACAAACACATTAATATCAAAGGCCTTAGCTTTTGTCTGGGGGACATGAGGATACACACGTGGACGACAGCAGATCAAGGTAGCGGAGTTTTGCAGGGCCTGTTCGCCAGCATGAAAAACACAAGGATGTCACTCACTGGAGTATCAAAGAGGAATAAGAGTTCGGGTCCCCCTGGCGGGCCCCGGATGTCACCCTGCCCCCGTCGCTGCCCACGTCAGGACAAGGTGCACGGAGCCAACTTGCCTCTTTCCAGAGCTTCCTTGGAGGGCCATCAGGCTGGAGTCTCCACTGCTGGTCACCGCAGTCCACATCCACTGGGCCCATTCCACCAAGGGCCACATCCGCCAGGTCGCAAAAGCCATCTCTGCCGAAGGACAGCCTCTGTCCCGTGAGGTCCCAGCCCTGATCCCCTTGCCGTACCCCTGGGATCTAAATGTGTCCAAGATGTCAGGAGGAAGTTAGCCACACTGCCGGCCACGGACGTGGTGAGCTGCTCCAGCGTGCGGTGGAGGCACGGAGTGAACGGCTGCGCTCTTCCCGGGGCTTCTGCAACCCTGGGCCCTGGCGACGTGCGGCTTTAGAGCACAAAGGACCCCTGCTCTTTCCCAACAGCACAAGCAAGCCACAGGGAGGGCCGGATGCTCTCGGGTCCGAGCTGCTGAATTCCAATGAGGTCTCCCCTGCTGCAGCTGCCCGGCCGGTGCACCTGCTCAGAAGGAGCCACATTCACCGCTGCCCGCGCGGGCGGGAGAGGGCACACCAAGCCCCTTTGTGGTCCCTTGCCTGTTTACCACGAACCACTTCTGCATCAAAACACCACGGGCGACCGTGGACCACAGGAATGGCATTTACTTCCGGTGATGCCCGCGTGGTGTTCACATTTCCGCTCCCTCTCCCAGGAGCAGAGAGCAAGTTAATTAGAGGAGGCGGATGGCAGCTTTTTTAATTAGCTCTTTTCCCCCTGTTCAGTTTCCCAGAGGGCTCAGAAACATTTCCAAGAGCAGGGATTTCTGCAGTCCACCCACAAAGAGCCTGTACATAAAAATAAAGCAGCACTTTGGAGTCCCAATGCATAAAAGCAGCTCCCCTCGGCTGTTTTTTTTTTTTCCTACTAGAAAAAAATAAGTACAATAAATTATTCTGTTAAGGCTCCATGCACTTTCAAAATGAAAGAAAGGGAAATTAATTTGCCGCAAAGATGCATTAGAAAGAATGTGCCACTCCAGTCCGCTAAAACGTCTCTAAATTAGAGGAAAATGCATTTACCAGGATATGCATACACGATATTCTCTACACAAGGTAATATGGAAATACACGTAAATAAAATAAGATGTATGTCTTTCCGTAAAAGATAGCTCTTAATGACCAGTCATGAAATATGAGGACTTTAATTCCTAGCATGAAAAGCTTTATCATAGTTATATGCTGAGCTGTTCTGTTCTGTGTCAGGCACCGGGCTAGGCCCATTTGTACCTTTCTCTGTAATCTCGAAAAACAGCCTGCCTGCTGGAGAACAGGCCCATTTTCCAGATGGCATAACAATGGCTTAGGGAAGCAAATTACTTTGCCCTTGGCCATCTAGTTAGCAAGCCCTGGAAGTTGGGCTCAAATCCAGAACTGTCTGCCTATAAAATCTGCCCTCTTTTTACTGTATCAGTGGTTTCCAAACATTTTCGACAGTAGAACTCTTCTTCCAAATGAATCCTATGCACTGAGAAGAGCAGGATTTCATTTATTTTATAAGCTCAACTTAGAAGATATTCTTATGACAAAGTCCATCACTGGGAACAACAAAGCTATCTTGACAAACTTGATAACTTGACACCAGGGGTTTGGATGCCAGCGGCAGCCTGGGATCTGCTAACTGCTCCCCAGGTTGCACATTACCAGGCAGAGTCCTGATGCAGACTGATGAGTGATTGCAAACAGCACCTGTTTCTTAACAGTTTGTCCTGTGATCACGGATATTCTTTAATAAGGCAGACAGGGCCAAACAGCTACCTGACAGTACAAAACCAAATTAATCCATCGGCACAAGGCAATATGCTGGTGGTATCCAAGGCGACACAGTATGGTGGATCCAGAATGGAAGGAAAGATAGAAACACGTAACCCCAAGGGTGCCTGGGTAGCTCAGTGGTTGAGCGTCTGCTTTTGGCTCAGAGCATGATCCCCAGGTCCTGGGATCGAGTCCCACATCGGGCTCCTTGTAGGGAGCCTGCTTCTTCCTCTGCTTATATCTCTGCCTCTCTCTATGTGTCTCTCATGAATAAATAAAATCTTAAAAAAAAGAGAGAGCGAGAGAGAGAGAGAGAGAGGAAGAATCATGTAACCCAACGCCAAGTACAGAGAGACTGTGTTAGCCACGGAAACCAAACCTGCCAAGCTCCCCAGGTGTGTGTCAACAAAGTTTTAAAGTATCATTTCAAATATTTCCTCGGATTTCAGAGAATATATAGTTCTGAGGTCCCACTGAGCAGAGTCTGAAAACCTCTGCTTCACACAATGAAGAAATCAGTCCCTCCACAGATGACACACTGTGTTAAAATACAGCACTTCGTGGAAACTGTCCCCAAAGCAAGACAGCTGGCAAAATGTAGGACCCTAGGGCTGTTGCACTATCTTTTTGGTTTACTTTCAATATTTTCATGTTTTACTTTGATGAACTGTAACAACAAAATAGTATAAGATCAGCACCCACACAAATACATCAATGTAAGTTAGCAAAACACATGGTAAAGTTAGCATAATATGATATAATCACACACATATACGTATATACACAAAAGCATGTGTGAATGTGTATGTGTATAAATAAAACATAGGTATCTTCCTTTTTTTTAAGCTTATTTATTTATAATCTCTACACCCAACGTGGGGTTCAAACTCCAGGCCCCAAGATCAAGAGTCACATGCTCTACAGACTGAGTCAGCCAGGGGCCCCAAAACACGGGTATCTCTCACTAAAGAGGTGCTATAAATGTTGTTTTTTGGCTTCTCACTAAGCAGTTACATTTTGCTCAAGTCTTACAGGAGGTAAATCAAGGGCGTGGGAAAGTAAATCTCAAATACCACAGAATGAATCTTCCAACTCTGAAGATGGGAGAAAAATTCCCATTCCAACATGCTTATCACGTCCTTTTTTTTTTTTTTTAAGATTTTATTTTTATTTATTCATGAGACAGAGAGAGAGAGGCAGAGACACAGGCAGAGGGAGAAGCAGGCTCCATGCAGGGAGCCTGATGTGGGACTCGATCCCAGGACCCCAGGATCACGCCCTGAGCCAAAGGCAGATGCTCAATCACTGAGCCACCCAGGCGTCTCTTATC